GCATCAGTAAGGGGAACAACAAATCAGTGTTTTTGTTCCTCTCTCTCTCCCTCCCTCTTTCTTTCTCTTTCTGCTTGCCTCCCACTTCCCCCTCTTTAAAATCAGTAAATAAAATTTTTTTTTTAAAAAAAGGAGCATTAGAGGAATGTAAGAAATCTCTAGTAGGGAGAGCAGACAGAATGCTTAACAAGGAACACAGAGAGGCATGAGAGATGAAGGTCATTTCTTTGGGGCCCAACCGAAGTGTGTACTTGGGAGGCTTCCACAGGACATAGCAGCCCAGAGGTTGTGCACATAAGCTTCACCTGCTTTGGATCCCAAATTTGACCCTTACCAGCTTGGGGGTGTCCCTTAACTTTTCTAATCCTAAAGTTCTGTGCCCATTAAGTGAGAGTAATAAGTGACATCCACCTTGTTAAGGTGGTTTTGAGGGTTTTTAAGATAAAATATAGAGTAGGTATTACAGATAATTGCTATTATAATAATGCTATTATTTTATAATAGTGCATTATTAATATAATCATGCTATATTATTATATATCATCACTTAATAATAAGGTAAATCCTGTAATCAGGCTGCTCCTGGGCACAGCAAGTGGGGGAAGTCTCTGGCAGGCATGACAGCTTTGGGAGGAAGAAGGTAAGGAAGTGGCTTAAAGGATCACAATTAGGATTAACATTTAAACAATAATTGGTGTCCGCAGGGAAACCCTCTCTTCTCCTGCTCTTGTTATTCTTCTGTGACCACTGTTGCCAGGATGTTTATGCTTTGGGTGTCATTGGTCAAGGTCGTCCTTGATGTTCTTTTCAGGGAGATTTCATCTGACATAAAAGCTAAAAGCTGAAACACACTTTGGCGACCTATTTCAACACTTCTGTTGGTCAAAAAATACCATGACTAAGAAGTCAAATGACAAACTAGGAAAACATACCTACTGTACAGGAACAAACTGACTGTCTTTAATATATAAAGAGCTTATTCTAAATCTATATGAAAAGATTAACATCTTCATAGGAACAAAGGACAAATGAGGAGTATATGTGACTGATTTTAAAAATTGTAGAAAAATGTTCAAAATCATTAGTAATTAAGTAAATGTATGTTTTTTCAATTTCTTTTTTTTTAATCATGGGAAATTTTAAATACGCATGGTATTGGAGGGTGTAATACAATGAACCACACACACCCATCTTGCAACTTCAGCAATTATCAACTCATGACCAGTTCTGCTTCCTTTCTGCCTCCACCCACCATCCAGATTATGTGGAAGCAAATATCAGTCACTAATTCATTTCATTCATATACACAAAGGAATAGATTTTATAACACCAGGATATTTGTGATATGGCAAATATTAAAAATAATAATGTGTAATGTTGGAATAGCTACAGTGACACAGGCGCTCTGCTATGCTGCTGGTGGGACTATCGATTGGTGTAAGTTTTCTAGAAGGCACAGAGTATGACAGAACTTAAAGATGTGTATTCCCTTTGTTTAATGATTCTACTTTGGGGACTTTACCTTAAGGAAATAATAGCTACGTGCACGTATATTTATCTTCAAGGATGTTAATCATTGAGTTGTTGTTTACGATAAAAATGAAAAAGGAACTGAGATCCAACATCAGAAAAATGTATAAATTATGGACTATCCAGATAAAGAAATACCAGACAGTCATTATGAAGTATGTTGAAGATGAGCTGTAAATTAGAAAACATTTGTAATAGATCAAGTAAGAAAGAAAAAGTTTATAAAACCGTATGTAGTGCCCTGACGGGCGTGGCTCAGTTGGTTGGGCTTCATCCTATAAAGTGAAAGGTCGCTGGTTCAGATGCTGGTCAGGGCACATGCCTGGGTTGTGGGTTCTGTTTCTGGACAGGGTGTGTATGAGAGGCAACCGATCAATGGATGTTTCCTTCCCCTCCCTTTCTAAAATAAATACATAGCCCTGGTTGGTAGGGCTTGGTGAATTGAGTGCCGGCCTGTGAACCCAAGGGTCACCGGTTCAATTCCCAGTCAGGGCGCATGCCTGGGTTGCAGGCCAGGTACCTGGTGGGGGGTGAGCAAAAGGCAACCACGCATGATGTTTCTCTCCCTCTTCTTTCTCCCTCCCTTCCCCTCGCTCTAAAAATAAACAAAATCTTCAAATAAGTAAATGAATAAATAAAATCTTTAAAAAGATACAAAACCTAACCAGAAAGAAAAAAACCCATATGTTACATATGATCCCAATTTTGTTATAAAGTTACAGGTATTTATAGGAAAAAATTAAAGAGAAATATATTGAAGTGGTAACATGGCTCTTATCAGGATGATTTTTATTTTATTCTTTATGTATACTTGGTTTCAAATGTTTTACAATGGATATGCATCGCTTTTCTAATCAGGAAAAAGAATCATAACTTAAAATACAGGATGTGGCGTTGGTGGGAATGCTGTGTAGTAGGGTTTGCCCTGAGGCTCTGTTCTCCCTTTGGAACGGCCCTGCTGACCAAAATAACATGTCGGGGAGGAGAATTTTCTTGGTGTTGCTAAGAATGTTCTAGGCTGGGAGAGGCAGGGCAGCAAGGAAGACGGCTGGAAACTTACTGCCTTTGTCCAGACATGGGGATGGAGGTCTCATCCAGGGGCAGATGGAAAGTCGGCTCTTCTCCCAGCTTCCCTGTCCTGGATTCGGTTCCAGGGAGACGACTCCAGAAGATCAGATCAGAGTATGTTGGCCCCAAACCCCTATTGCTCTCCTGGCCTCTGCCTGGGTTAGGATTAGGGTTAGGGTTAGGGTTAGGGCTAGGGCAAGTTTTGAGCTTAAGGAAAAGGAAAGGGCAGGCTAGCAAGCTGTCAGCTTCTCTGGAGTCTTCCCCTAGCCCCGTTGCAAAGTTGGAGGCACTCTCTGCCCAAAGGTGGCTGCAGCAACAAAAGTGTTTCCCTGGCTTGACCCTGCACCAAGCGGCCTTTGCAACACCGGGTCTTATCCTCCTCTCCTCTTCCAGTTGGGCTCTGAGCCCACTTTGATCCTGTCTTCCTTCACCTGCTCTGGCTGTAGTGGCATTCCAGACAGGAACGGTTACCCTCTTCCATACAGGCAGAACCAGTCTTTGGATTCTCCCTGGGGCTGATTTGGCCCCAGAGATGCCTCCCCTCCGAGGCTGCCTTCGCAGGAGTAGCCAGCATGGAGAAGCCCAAATATGTGAGCTTGGGAACCGAGGCATGTCCTGTGAATCACAGCATACCTGGGAGGCAGGTGTGCAGAGAGTGGGAGAGGGTGCCTTGAGCGCTCACCTGGGTGTGCCTAGGCACACATGAGCACGGCGCATTCCCCGGCTCGTGTTGCGGGAATTTCCATATGCTCCTTGTCGTCTGCTGGCCCTCTCTGAGAGGCCTGAGTGGACAGAGGACCCACTCTATGCGGGGGGCGGGGGGGTTGAAGAAGAGCTCTTCGTGTGCTGGGAATTCTTTGGGGAGCCTGGACGGCCACCTTGGCCTCGGTATCATACGCTATAGACTTATTCATGTTCCTTTTAAATTCTGGGATCCCAAAACATCTTAAATCCCTGGATCTAGTTCCAGGGAGATGACTCCAGAAGGTCAGATAAGACTTGCATGGTGGCCCCAAACCCCTGCTGTGCTGTTGGCCTCTGTGTGGGTTTGGGGTAGGGCAAGCTTGAGCTTAAGGGAAAAGGAGAGGGCTAGTAGCAAGCTGTTTTTTAACAGTGATATTGAGACATGATTCACATACCAGGAAATTCACCTAAAGGATACAATTCACCGGTTTTTATTGCATTCACAGTTGTGCCGTCATCACCATAATCAATTCTATCGCCCCGGATAGAACCCATGTGCCCGTTAGCAGCTCTTCCCTACTTGCTCCCAGCTCTCGCTGCCCCAGCCCTCAGCAGCAGCTTACCTGTTCTCTGTCTCTGTAGGTTTGCCTATACCGGACACTTCATATAGATGGAATCATACAATATATGTGGCTTTTGTGACTGTTTTCTTTCACATCATATGTTTTCAAGGTTCATCCATGTTGTACTATGCGTCAGTATTTCATTTGTTTTTATGGCCGGATAATAATTGTACTGTGTAGATACACCGCATTCTATTTACCTATTCATCCACTGGCGGGCATTGAGAGTATTTCCACTTTGGGGATATTATAAATAATGCTGCTGTAAACATTCATGGGCGAGTTTTTGTGCACACAATGTTTTCATTTCTCTTGGATATATATACTGAGGGGTGGCATGACTGTGTCGCATGTTAACTTTGTGCTTAACTGTTTGAGGAACTGCCAGACCATTTTCCAAAGTGGCTGTGCCATTCTACATTCCCACCAGCACTGTGAGGGCTCCTGTTCCTTTATATCTTCAGAATGTTTGCTATATGATCTTTAAAAATTATAGCCACCCTAGAGGGTATGAACCTAGTATCTCATTATACTTTGAATTTGCATTTTCCTAGGCTTAATGATATTTCATGAGCTTATTGTCCATTTTTTTATTTTTTGAAGAAATGTCTATTCAGATCTTTTTCCCATTTAAAAATAGGTTATTTATCTTTTTATTACTGCGTTGTGGGTTTTTTTTTTAAAAAAAATTATTTACTTATTTTTAGAGAGAGAATAAGAAGGGAAGGAGAAAGAGGGAGAGAGTCATTGATGTGCACTTGGTTGCCTTTCACATGCCCCCAGCTGGGGACCTGACCTGCAACCCAGGCATGTGCCCTGACTGGGAATCGAACCGGAGACCTTTCAGTTTGCAGGCTGATGCTCAATCCACTGAGCCATGCCAGCCAGGGCGAGTTGTAGGGGTTCTTTATATATCCCAGATACAGGTCCCTTAGCAGATGTGTGATTTGCAAAACTGATCTGTGCATCTTTTTTTTACCTTCTTGATGGTGTCTTGTAATGCACAAAAGTTTTTATTTTATTTATTATTTTTTACCGACATCAGAAATTATTTAAAATTTATTTTTAAAAATGCTGTTGTCCTTATAATGGTCAACCTCAGAAGCCAGATTCATATTAACTTTTTTCCAACAGACAGTTTAGGTTTAGGACAGGATCATCATAGATATGAAGCACAAGAGTTTTCAATTTGGATGATGTCCGTTACTCATTTTTTTTTTTTACTAGTTTATTGAGATATAATTATATAAATCACTGTATTAGTAAAACATTGTGCCACATGATGATTTGGTAATATGCCTTACTTTTTTAGTTGGGGGCAAAATAGGCAGAAGTGATGCGGAGCAGGTGTATAGTGAAGTTCAAACTGCTTCTGTCCAGCAACAATGGATTAGCTTGCAGGCAGCCATGACATGTTCCATGTTTGCCAACACCCCAAAGCGACTGCAGACAAATGGGGGAGGGGACCATAGATTAAGTCCATACAGACAGTCTGAATTCAATGCAACAGGTGGCATAGACACCCAGAGAGCGATCCTCAGTGCAGGGACATGGTGATTGTGGGTGGAAACTTTTGCAACACGGTTGCCATCTCTCCTGAGATTCTAGAGAGAAGCTGTGACTGGCTGTCGGGCGGGGGGGGGGGGTGGGGGGGGGGCGGCGGGGGGGGGATGTACTTGGCCTCACAGCTGTTTGAATCCGTGGCTGCATTATCTTCGTTTACCATATCTGGATTTGGGTGGAATCCAGTTGTTGGCTTGGACCCAGAATGGGTTTCTATTGAGATGCAAAAGAGTAGCCTAGATGGGAGGAGAGCCTGAGCCTTTTTTGCCATTGGCCTTCTCAAGTGTGATCTTGGGGCAAGACCGTGGAAAGGGAAAGCCCTCTTTGCACCTAGGAATTCAGAAGCAGAAATCCCTGGGGGCTGCCTCGCCAGCCCTGAGGGAACTGTAGAATTCTGATTGACACCCTCCAGAAATCTCCTCTCAGAACTGAAAGTAGCTTTGGCTGACATCTGGTCCTTCTGGGACACTGGTATTTTTATTTATAAAAATGACACCCTCGTCCACAAATAGATTCTTATATTTAACTGGCTTGCTCCCTTTGAGGGATGTCCGAGTCTCCCAGCTTTGCTTGCTGGCGTCCCGGTGTAATCCTGTAAAGACAGGAAGGCCCCGGCCTGTGCTGGAGAGGGGAGGAGGGACGCTGGCCAGCCAGGAGGTCCAGTAGCTCTGTCCTTAATCTGGGGCCCAGGTTCTGCATCACACTTCTCCCCTGCCCTTAACAACCTCAGTTCCTGAAGGAAGAACTTTCAATTACTAGACATCACCCTCTGGACTCATTCTACTGTAAATTAGGGGAGGAGAGCAGATAAGAGAAAGTGCCTCCTTCGTCCATCCTCTGTACCTTCTCGCAGCTGACGTCTCCCTTGTTTCTTGTCTTGCAGCTGCCCAATATGTTTGGTGACCTTCGGTCCACGTTTATTGCCTTGATGATTGGGTCCTATGCCTCCTCAGCAGTTACCTTCCCAGGAATCAAGGTGAGGTGTGGCCGGCACATTTATTTTGTCCTAGTGTCTGAGCAGAAGCGTCTCCTTCAACCCTCTCTGAAGAGGGATGTCATCGTGGGTACTGGGCGGGCCCCTCCCACCACCCACACCTGGGAGCCTGTACCTGGGCATCATGGGAGTAAGAAAAGAAACCCACTGAGCCATGGGGGGTGGAAGATTCAAACAAGTCACTCCAGGGTGTCACCGCAGGCCACTTTTGCATCTCTGGGCTAGGGTAGAGAAAGCTGGTGGTGAGTGTGTCCCCGATCCTGAGTCCAGCTCCAGTCTCCCTGCCCCCAGGTCTGTTGTTGTTGGGCCGTGGCTTGCCATTAGCCCAGCGCTGCTCCCAGCCAAGTTGGTTCAGCTGTTTCCCTCCCAGGCAGGATTCTGAGCCCATGGAAGTCACACAGGGTCAGGATGAAGCAAACACCTCACAGTCCATCAGCCCCAGTTCCTACTCGAAATCCGGTTGCTCCTGCCAGGGCTTCGGAAGGGGCTTCTCCCTCCCCTGGCACCAGCACCAAGGAAAATCCCCTTTCCTGAGGTGTGTGGTGGGGAGGCCATCATGAGGAAAAGGAGTCACCGATGTGCGCTGGTCCCCTGGGAATCAAGGTGCTTGGAGGGTCTAGGGCCAGGCATCCTGTGGACTTCCACGGATTGTCACGCTCCTGGAGTGTGGAGACGCCCGCATGTGCCCCTTCCTCCTGTCTCAGTGTCTAGCTGCTGCGGGTCCCCTTCCTGGGCAGCTGGGCAGCATCTGCCAGTATTCTGGGCACTCTTGTACTGGAAATAAATTGTAATAAAGACAGTAACAGATAACGTGCTCGCCCTCAGCAGGCTTCCCCCCCACCACTGAGCACTCTACCAGGGTTACACCTGCCTGACTCTTGCCACCATACTGTAAGGACACGTCCCTCTTACACGCATTTCACAGAGGAGGAAAGTGAGACAGCCGCCTGTTCATTCCTCGTGTATTTTTTGCACCTATTACGGGCGCTCTTCAAGGTGCTGGAGAAACATCAGTGGACAAGGCTAGCAGGTTCCCGTTCTCAGGGAGCTAAACTAATGATGGACCAGGGGATGAATCAAGATGTCAGTACGCATAGCTATTCAGAGTGAGCCAGTGATATGACAGTGACGGGGGTGGTCAGGGAAGGCCGCTCAAAGGAAGTGACAGCTGGTCCGAGAGGAGGCACAGGGGTTAACGACATGCCAGGGTGAGCTGGGATAACTGGGATACGGAGTGTCCGACAACCAAACCCTGTGGCTGACAGGGCTGCCGGCGACTGCCTGCTCCCCAACCTGGCTTCCCCGCGCTGACCCCATCCTGGCCCTGCCCCTGCCCCGTGGTGCCTTTCAGGTCATCTACGACTTTGGTGTCTCCTTCATCACCATCCTCGTGGTCTGGGCTGGCTGCTCTGGGCTAGTTTTCCTCAACTGCTTCTTCAACTGGCCTCTGGAGCCTTTCCCAGGGCCAGAGGACATGGACTACTCGTAAGTGGATGTGCTCTCTGTCCCCCGCCCCATCCCCCAGTTTATGGTCCTGGGCAACACTGACAGACACTTTCCTGTGGCCTCCAGGGTGAAGATCAAGTTCAGCTGGCTGGGCTTCGACCACAAGATCACAGGGAAGCAGTTCTACAAGCAGGTGACTACAGTGGGGCGCCGCCTCAGCGTGGGCAGCTCCATGAGGAGTGCCAAGGAGCAGGCGGCGCTGCAGGAGGGCCACAAGCTGTGCCTGTCCACCGTTGACCTGGAGGTGAAGTGCCAGCCAGACGCCGCAGGTACCTGCCATGAGGCCCCCACCTGCCAGGTCTGCCTCACGCCCACGCTCACACCTCCAGGATAGAGAGGGGCAGCCAATCCAGCTCTGGAGGCCTGGCCCCGGCTAAGGACTTCGTAGGTCTTATCTCAATCCCCACTTCCTCCCAGAGGGGCACGCAGCACTATGCATTCTGTTTTCAGACAAGCACACTAAGGCTTGGAGAGGGTAAGGGATTCCCCTGCCTTGTGGTACACAGCTGGGTGACCCAACTCTAGCACCCACACCTCTCACCTCACCTGGGGCCCGCCCTCACATGCTGCATGCAGTGATTGATTAAGTCAGCAAGTCAGCCTCCCCTCCCCGTGCACCAGGCCCCCGCAGGGCAGAGGTGTGGGCCCCACTTCTCCCTGAACACCCGTGGCCTTCTCCCCACAGCAGCCCCGTCCTTCATGCAGAGCATATTCAGCCCCATCCTGCTGCTCAGCCTCGTCACCATGTGCATCACGCAGCTGCGGCTCATTTTCTACATGGGCGCCATGAACAACATCCTCAAGTTCCTGGTCAATGGCGACCAGGACAAAGGTTGGTGGCCCCTGTACCTTGGTGCGCAGCCCCATGGGAAGGTGGAGACCACTGCCCGGCAGGCTGAATGGTGTTGGGCTGGGCCGGACCAGGAGGGCCTGGAAATCAGCGTCCAAGGGACTTGTCAGAGCTATTGCATCACAGCCAGCCCCAACTTCGCTTTCATGTCCCCATTAGAGTTTCCCGGTATAGGAGGGAAGGGAGGACTAAAATAACTACGTGTCTTTGGAGTGTGAGGTGTATGCTTTTCATTGCCTGAGGGGGCTGGGTGATGTGTTTCGTGAATGAAAACATTGCACAGAGCAGAGTACTCCACGTGAGAGCCCATTAAACGACAGCCAGTCAAACCCACGTCAGTAATCCCCTGGGAAACCACAGGGCTGGCGCGCGGAGAGCCTGGGGGCCCAGGGTGGGGGCCCAGGCCATCTCGGCTGGAGACTTTGAGGCAATTGGACTGGTGCCGGGAACTGTACCCTGAACTGGAAGCGGGGCCAGGGAGAGGCTTCCTCAAATGTGTAATCCAGTCGAGACTTGTCAAGTCTGGTAAACAAAACCGATAACCCACACACTACTTTTCCAAAACAACACAAAAGGTCTTTAGCGGATTAGAGGCTTTGATTCTACAAAGAAAGTCAGTACTTCCTCAGGGCCTGAGCTGAGTCAGCGTTAGTCATCCTTAGCGGGACAAACACATTCGGTAAATGCTTTTTATTGGCAGTCTCATCGGTGTGCAACCTTTTTGTTGGTTTAATTGTTTTTCCCTGGGGATCATAAGGAATCAAATGCAGTTTTTAAAGGGGATGAGAAATCTAGCTTTAACAAAAGGGAAAGATGACAAAAGCACCGAGAAAACACTGGTTCCACTGTGAAAATGAGCCCTTGCAAAATTTCCTAATGAATGCTGACATAGAAAGGCCTTATTTTTTTATGGGAAAAAATAACCTATTTAGCTTTGTTGCATCCAAAGGAATGCTTTCATTAAGTAACAGCCATTAAAATCTGTGAACCGAACTTTGGGGGAAGCCGATCTGAACTCCCTCTGCTAAGAACTCCCAGGCCCAGGGAGGCGGAAACCCTGAAGTGTGCAGAGACGGGCCTTCGCTGGCCCTTAGAAAGCAAGTCGCCCTGCTGCTGAGTCGTGAGCTTTTACTCAGGTTCTCTTGAGAAATCCTTTGCTGTCTAAGAGGAATTTTTTTTTTTCCAACTGTTTCTCACATTGAGAAAGTTTCAAGAAGTAGAGGAAGTTGGGCCAGGAAATTCCATCTGCAGCTGACAGGGCATTGGTTTTCCCCATCCTGCTCCTGTGAGCTGTTGTGCATGACACCCCCAGCCCCAGTTATGCCCAGAGGGACGGCATCAGGGTCAGGGAGTTGGTGGGGTGGACAGGAGACCCACTCTGGCTGTCTTGGGGAGACCCATGGTGTCAGATGCTTTGCTGGGAATTGGGGTGCATTATTTGACATCTCTTGCCCTTGGAGTGCAACTGTGACAGAGCAGTGTTCCCGAAGGGCCATTCAGCAGTGAGTTCTGCTAGGTCTGCTGCACCCACACTACTTCCCCATCACTGTCCTCGGCAAGCCACAGGCCTGATTCACCAGCCTGTCTGTGACAAAGGGCCAGCTGCACGTGACTAAGGCCCCAGACGACAGGGAAACGTCAGCAAGCGCCTGTGCTGGGCCCCCTCCCACCTCCTACCCTAGGAGCCTGGCTCATGCTCAGCCACCCATGGGTGCTCAGAGGTTCATGTCTAGGCGGGAAATGAGATGTGTGCTGGGCCCAGAGCTCGCTGGCCTGCCTCCATGCCCCATCTCCCTGTGACGGCCTTCGTGATTTCTGCGACTAACCTTGCTCCTTTCTGCTTCCTCACTTTGCTCTCTTGATGCAGTCATGGCCACTGGTAAGCAGAGGGGACTGTCGGGGACCATGGCCGCATCCCCTCCCAGCTGGTCTTTGTTCAATGAAGAAACGCCTTGCCTGGAATTGGAAACATCCCTCTTAGGCAGAACTGCGGGTGGGGTGGGGTAGTCAACTTTCAGTTTCCATTTGCCCCCCAAAACTCCATCTAAATTTTAAGGCTCTTTGAAGATTTAAGCCCTTATGTCAGAGCCCCCGTGAGTGCTGCCTTTCTGGTGTAATTCTAGAGGCAGGACTCATGGTCAGTCTTACGCAAGGCATCCATGCCAGGCGTTGGTTAATTTTGTGGTTCCCAAGTCGGAGACTTCCTGGAGCTTCTGGGGCGGTCATTGATTGTAACATACTGGACTTCGTTAACTGTTTCTTGGAAATAAGCAGGGAATTTGGAGAAGAGAATAGGATGCCCACCCCTTGGTCCAGCTTTGAATTCAGGGGTTCAGGTCTCCAGGCTCCCCTCAAGATCCACAGTGACAAGAGGGGGTCTGAGCAGACCCCAGAAGGGCCTGTGGGGTTTTCAACTGTGCCTAGCGCCTGCCCCCGGCCTCTGTCAGGAGCCCCCACCGTGACGCAGCCCGTCTTCCTCCCCAGTTAGCCTCTACACCTCCATTTTCGGTGTGCTCCAGCTGCTCTGCCTGCTGACGGCCCCCATCATCGGCTGCATCATGGACTGGAGGCTGAAGGAGTGTGAAGATGCCTCTGAGGAGCCCGAGGAGAAAGACGCCAACCAGTGCGTAGGCAGGACCCGTGCCTGGCTCTCAGCCCCCAAAGAAAGAAGCCCCCAAGTCTGATGTTAGGCAGGAGCAGGGTTGGGGGAGGGTAGGTTTTAAAGTCAGCAGGAGGGGTGAGAGAGGGTCGTGCTGCAGGCTGACCTCTCGAGGGCTCTGAGACGCTTGCTCACTCAGCTGGGCGCACCTTCAGGTCTACTGCCTTTGCCTCCTTACGACAATTCTTTGGTAGGCTGAAGTTTGGGGAGCGCTGGGTTAGATGAAAGGAGAAACGAGAGGGAGGTCTGCATGCGGCCAGCGGATATCAAACCATGCCACGTTCAGGATCGCACTCAGATCCTTAGCCTGAGAAGCACAGTGAGTGAATGATCTCAAAGCAGGGCTGCCTTGCCAACAAGGCTGGCTCCACTCGGTGGGCGTAGCAAGTTGCTATAACTGTAACAGGTGTTAATAGCTTTGTTCATGATCATGAGCATTAAACAGGGTCCTGGAGCCCTGCTTTATGTAAGGATTGGGCTCTGAGATCAGAGGATGAGTTAAATGCTGTCTACTATGACTCCACCTAAGTATAATAAGCTACTGTTTATTTTATCAGACCCTGTGCCAAGCACTTTAGGCACAATATCTCAGTTAAGCCTCACAACACCTCACTGAGTGTGTACTAGGGTGATACCCATTTTACAGATGGGGAAACTGAAGCTAGGCATTTGAGGAGCTTACCTGAGGCCACATAGAAGTGCTGGGCCTGAGACTCCTTGCACATCTCCCAGCACTTGGCATTCCTTTTTGAATGCCATACAGTTGTCCATGGGGTATCTGTGGGTGGTAAGAGTAGAATCAGTAATAGTGAATTCACAAGGAAATAATTATAGAGAATGCTTTGTTATCTAGGTCAGGTCCTACAGCCAAGAGGTTATTTGTGCCCATTCCAGTTCCATCTGCTGCATATTTGTTTCTACTTCACTCCCTCCTGCTGCCCCAAGGGGAAATCCACTCACTCCCTTATTTGGCTTATTATCTGCCTTATCTTCAGTTCCCTGCAAGACTTAAGTGAAGTTGAAGCCAATGATGAAACGAGGCTTTGCCACATCCTAACTTGGGCCCGCTCTCTTCCTTCCCACCCCATTATTTGAGCTTAGTCTTCACCAAAGCAGTGCAGTACATTGATGACCGTCTTCTCGTACCTGACTTCTCTGAGGCTCATGCTCAGTGCTCAGTCAACAGGGTGTCGTGGGAGACCCCAGTGCTGGTCTCGTCCCAACAGCCCCCACAGCGCTCTTGGGGGGTCTCTGAGTTGTGAGTTGTCCACAAGCTGTCACTACCAGGGCCTGACTCCTTGGGAGAGCCTTCCTCCTCCAGGGAGCTCTCAGCTCCAGCGTGTGCTCTGTGTCTCTGCAGAGGCGAGAAGAAGAAGCGGGACCGGCAGATCCAGAAGGTCACCAACGCCATGCGGGCTTTTGCCTTCACAAACTTGCTGCTCGTGGGCTTTGGGGTGACCTGCCTCATTCCCAACCTGCCCCTACAGGTGGGTATGGGGAAAGGGAGAGGTCAGGCAGGGCAAGGGGACAGTGAGACGAAAACGTGCGTGATATGTCATGAAAGTCATCAACAAAGAGGGATGAACTTTTCATTCATTTAATTCAACCAGCCGACTGACCAGCCCCCTGTCATTTACCAAGAGCCTCTTAACCTGTTAGGCTTTGTGCTTGATCCTGGGAGGGAGCCGTAAATGACACTGGGATTGTCTTTCACAAAAGATTCTTCTTTATGAAGGCATATTCCTCTTGGCCTTCTGTGCATTTGCTTACCACAAATACCCCCATTATACTATTTTCCAGAACTGTGTTCGGCAGTTGCGCAGCTACTTACTTCGCACTGCTCGAACGGCTGAGGTCTGATGTCTGAGGAGGTCGGGCTAACCTGGTGTTGACAGGAGCGTCTGTCCCTCAGCCGCAGGAGTGCCTCAGGGCCTGCGCACAGGAGACAGTGGGAAAAGACTGTGGCGGTCGCTTGGCATCTGGGTTCAAAGCTTAATTTCATTCCACAGATTTCTGATGCTTTTGAAACCTGGCTTTTGGCAGAGAATGTGAGCGGGGTAGATTTTGTCACCTGTCTGGCTCCACCTTAGACCCATGAAAGTGCACTAGTCCCAACCCCCAAGAGTATTAATTTTGAGGGACTTGAATGATGGCATTGCTCCTAGGTGGGTATAGCCCAAGGTCAGGTGGAAAGCAAGAGTCACTTTTTACAAGTGGCCATGTGTTGAGGTACATTGAATACTCGGGTGTGCACCACGCACGGGTACTAGCACGTGCATGTGCCGACACTGTGCGTGCAGACCGGAGGAAATCACTGGAAACTTGTACCAGTTCCAGGTGGGAGTGTTCTTATCTCCCTGGTGCCGTCCTGGCCTCCTGGTGGTTGCCCGCTGAGAGACTGAAAGACCCTTGCCTGGCCACCTTGTCCAGTTGAGGGTCAGTGCTTAGTGGGGACAGTCATCTGCTTTTTTAACTTTTTTTTGTGGGGGGAGGTTCTCATGGAAAGAAAAGTTCTAAAAAAGCAACAAGGCATTTGAAGTGGGAAGGGGGAGCCTGGCCAAGTACGTACCTGCACATTCAGGCACAGCCTCCTTTCAACACCACAGAGCGCAGCCCCTGCCCCCTCCACGGCCCACATTCCTGGGGACAGGTCCTGGCTGCTGAATAGGATGGCAATGCTGTGCATGAAGGACAAGGGTCCTGGCGGCAAACTGGACAACTCTCGTGCCTCTCAAATCATTAACGAGTGCTCCTTAGAAATTGCTAAGCCTGCCAGCAGCAGCAGCCGCCTTCTATTTTTACTGTTTGAGAGAGAGAGAAAGAGAAGGCGGGGGGTGGGGGGGCGGCGGGGGGATAGAAGCATCAATTTTGTTGTTCTGCTAATTTATGCATTTATTGGTTGCTTTTTTAAAAAATAGTTTGTTTATTTTTAGAGGGGATGGGATGGAGAGAGAGGGAGAGAAACCATCAGTATGCAAGAGATACATTGATTGGTAGCCTCTCACACGCTCCCAACTGGGACCTGGCCCACAACCCAGGCACGTGCCCTGACTGGGAATCAAACCTATGACCCTTCAGGCTCTGGCACTCTATCCACTGAGCCACACCAGCCAGGGTTCATGGATTGCTTCTTGTATGTGCCCTAACCGGAAATTGAAACCACAACCTTGGTATATCCAACAATGTTCTAATCAACTGAGCTACCTGGCCAGGGCCAGGAGCAGCCTTCTTAAAAAGTGGAGCTTTCTACTCTGGCTGATGTGGCTCAGTTGGTTGGAACGTTGTCCCATAGACCAAAAGGTCTCAGGTTAAATTGCCAGTCAGGGCACATGCCTGGGTTGCAGGTTCGGTTCCCATTTATGGCTTGTACAGGAAGCAACTGATTGATGTTTCTCTCCCTCTCTCCCCACCCCTTCCTCTTTTTCTGCGGCGGGGGAGGGGGAAGCAGAGCTCTCCTAGGGAGGTTAGGGTCTGAGTGACTAGGCAGGGAGACCCCTGGGTACAGTTGTCAGGTCAGCAATAGCAGAAGATCCAGAGAGAGGGGGGCTGATTTTTAGCATCTGCCAATTTCCATGGTGTAACTGCTCTCACTGTGGCTGATCTCAATCATTATGCTGTCACCAATTGTGGAGCTAGAAAGGGAATCCCAGTAACACGCCATCGTATAATATTTCTACCATACAAAAACCTTAAGAACATAGATAATAGTAAAACATAGTAAAGTAATTAGGAAGTGATAAGTTTTCAGCATTCATTACCTTTGTTTTTAATATAATTAAGTGTTAAGTTTATAGAATTCAAGTTTTCGTAATGACCGTGTTTAACAGCTGGCTCGCAAAATACCTGAAAACTCGGGAATTAACCCTGCAGAACTGGTGTGAGCCAACACTCGGCTGCCAGTGCTCCCGTTGCTCAGGCCCCAGACGCTGGCGTGGGGGACACGGTGACATGGTGAGGGCCCTCCCAGCCTTCCGCTCATTCCCTGTTCTCCTCCTGCAGATCCTCTCCTTCATCCTGCACACAATTGTGCGAGGATTCATCCACTCTGCCATTGGGGGCCTGTACGCTGCAGTGTAAGTCCTGGCGGCTGTGGGGGACCTGGTGACAGAGGGTGAGGGGATGACTTAAGCAGGGTTTGTGGTGGGACTGAGGTTCTGAGGGGGGCCAGCCTGCCCTGTCATTTTCCTGCATCAGGGACAGGTACCAAGGCTCCTGTTGGGTGTGTCGGGGGAAGGCCACACCTGGCGGGAGGTAGGTCAGTGGGCAGACAGTTGGGTGCCCACAAGTCCCAGCATTTAACACAAAGTCGGTTCTCTCAGCCGGAGGCAGGACCCCAGTGCAGCTCATGTTGCCTTGGGGGCTGCTGCTCCACCGGGTCCTGGGCTGCCTCTGGTTGCTCAGGGGAAGGGCAGGCGTGGGTTCTGGCTGCCGCAAGCTCAATGTTGATGTTCACAGGACCCTCAGCAGGAGCAGTGACATGAATAACTGAGCCCAGAATGTATTAGACAATTCTCACCCAGAATCTTGTAGGGCCTGCCTCTACCCACAGCCTTCTCAGGCCTTGGCTAAAATGAACCCTGCCTCCTGTCCCAAGAGGCCATGCATACACAGGGAACCACAGTGTTCTTCCTCCTTTGGGGCTTGGCTCAAAAATTGGAACCCAGTCCCGGGCAGTGTGTCTCAGTTAGTTGGGGGAGTCCCCTACACCAAAAGGTTGCAGGTTCGATTCCTGGTCGGGACATATGAAGGTTGCTGGTTTGATCCCCTGTTGGGGTAGGCATGAGATGTTTCTCTCTCTTTCTCTTCCTCTCTAAAATCAATAAATGTATTCTGGGGTGAGGATTAAAAAAAAAAAATTGGAACCCAAATACCACCATCTCTCTCTGAGCAAAGACCAGATTGTTTACCCCTGGGACTCTCTTCCTGCCTCTGGGGTCCCAAAGCCTGATGTTTTCTAAGATTTTGCCAGAACTCTGTCCCCTGTCAACAGCATTGCATGGGGGTCATTCCAGGTCTGAATGTCCCCCACCCACTCAGGCCTGGAGGAAGTTGCGGCCGCCCTGGCAGGGTCTGCGGGAGGCTGCTGAAAGCTCTGATGCTGCGTTTCCATGATTACACAATGCTCCTCTGGATGAGGGCACAGCAGAGCCAGGCCCAGCCTCCATCCTGCTCCCTGGGCTTGTTTCCCAAGCTGCAGATTCCTGCTGGCACCACACTTTCCACTCAGCTCAGCCAGCCAGCCACCCACGAGCCCAGGACACACCTGGGCAGGGCGGGGTCCTCCCCAGAGTCTGGGCTTTGGGTTGGTCCAAAAGAGAGACTCGCTTTGCACACGTGCTCAGCAGAAAGCCATCTGAAGGCAGTCGTCCTGTTGTGCTCTGAGGCCGTTCCTGCCTCTTCTCTGGCACCAGTGCACCTGCGGCCAGGCCGGGGCCGAGGCGCATTTGGAAAGCCTGAGAATGGCACCTTCGGTGACATGTTCTCTCTGGCCCTGGCAGGTACCCTTCCACCCAGTTTGGCAGCCTCACAGGACTGCAGTCTCTGGTCAGTGCCCTCTTCGCTCTCCTGCAGCAGCCCCTGTTTCTGGCCATGATGGGCCCCCTGCAAGGAGATCCTCTGTGGGTAAGAAGGGCCAGGGGACAGTGGGTGAGAGGCATTGCTCTGGGGCTTCCAGAGCCCTGAGGATAAACAGTTTGGGAACGTTGGCTAAGATTAAATCAGGGCCCCCTCCTGAATCGTGGCTGGGCAGGAGGAGAAAAGTGTCCTTTCTGGACCTGATTTTGAGATAAATAGAATCTAGTTGCTGTCCCTGCCCCACTCTGGAGATTCAGATCAGTAGGTCTGAGGTCTGGGGGTAGGGGGTAGGGGCGGTGGCGGTGGCGGAGGGCAGGCCCTGAGGGCTGCTGGGCGGCCTGCAGACAACTGGGGAATTCTGGCGCCAGAATGTGGCCCTCCAGCCTCTGGGACATTCCACTTTAAGTTTTTTCTTTCCTCCCCTGTGACCTCCCTTTTCCCAAACCTGAGTGTGAGGAAGGGTCTTGAATTGGACTCCACAAAAAACTACGGCCCTCACCTGGTCCCCTGCCCCATGTGATGGCAATTTTCATCCCTGCCACCCCAGGTGAACGTGGGGCTGCTCGTCGTGAGCATGCTGGGGTTCTGCCTTCCCCTCTACCTCATCTGCTACCGGCGCCAGCTGGAGAGGCAGCTACAGCAGAAGAGGGAAAACGACAAGCTTTTCCTCAAGCTCAATGGCTCATCCAACCAGGAGGCTTTCGTGTAGTGCCCACCACCTCAGAACTGTGGCTGCCTGCCCTTGCTTCAGTGACTCACCAGTGTCCTCCTCCCCACCCCAGAGGACCTCCACGCACCCCCAGGACCCTCTCCTCACCATGTTGGAGCCCATGCCCCCTCCCAGGACCTTGGTCCTGCCTTGGAGCTCTGCTGTGGAAGGACGGGAGAGGGCCTGCGTGTGTGGTTTTCCTACTGCTGGAAGCAGGGGCCGCCCTGGGCTTGGCTCTGCTGCCTTTGAGGGCTCTGGAGCCTTGAGGCTCCATGGTACCTGCAAGAGGAGCCAGGAGGACCCCCGACAGGCAGGCTCTATCCCTCAAGCATCTGGATTCTGCCTCTTGCCAAAGCAGAGGGGTCTGCCATTCACTGCCTACCACCTACCCCTCGGCTGCATGCCCACCGACCACGCCTGCCTGAGGACAAAGGCTTGCACTGTCTGCACCCCCTCGCCTGGCTCCTCATCTCCTCCCCTGGTCAGCCTGAGGCTGCCTGAGGAAGGAAGGACCCGCTTCCTGTTGTTGGTGCTAACTCCTTTGTATTTCCAGCCCCGTGTTGCCTGTCCAGAGCCTATCCTCCCATTAGAGGCCTGTGGAGAAGCCCCCCTGGCTCACAGCCTGGGGAGGGGATGGAGGGCTGGATGGTCATACTAGGCTCAGGAGCTGAGGACAAAGGTGACCAGCAGCCCTTAACCATCTCCCTTAGGACCTAAGTGGAGAACAAGCTTCCACTGCAGCTCTTCATCCAGTCTGACCTGAGGGGAATGAAAGGGGCATCAAGAGGGCACCCCCCCGCCCCCACACACACAGTTGTTTTGGTGGGGGTGGAAGTGAGACTGGCTGATAGACATGGAATAGTCCAGGTCCGGTGGGGAGGGAGGGAGGTATGTGAAGGGCCTAGGGGTGTGTGCGTGCGTGGGTGTGTACCTGTGAGAGAGGTGTGTGGGATGGTGGTAGGGTGTGGGCCCTGGGTGTCTGCTCTCATTCTCCCAGAGCTGCCCAGAGGCCAGCCAGGCCTGCAACAGTGGGAGCGCCCCAGAGCCAGTCTGGCTGGCCCCGAAGCTTGTCGGAGGCTGTGGAGCCACAGCGCCCCCTGCTGGCAGACCGCCCCCAGGGCCCTGGCGCTGTTTACAGGGGAACAGTCGCCCTCCGCCAGACAGGCCTGATTTACCAATTCTCCCACCAGGACTGACCCCAGAAGTGGATCTGGGACTTCTTCGGAGCACAGAGAGGGTTGGGTGGATTTTTAGGTTTATGGTTTTGTGGGGTTTTTTCATTATAAGTCATCAGACTCATTTTTATAAGCAATAAATCCATTTTCCTCCTGTTAAGGGTTGCCCCTGCTAGCCTATCAGTTAAGATCTACATGTCCCTGTTTTGAGCTTGAGGAGAAAAGGCAAGACAATTACACAACTGTACACATGAAACCTATATAATTTTATTAACCAATGGCACCCCAATAAATTCAATTAAAATAAAATCAAACAACAAAAAAGAAAAGACAAGATTTCCTGACACTGACCAGCCCCTGTCATACCCTGCTACTCCCAGTCTCTGGATCATTGCCAGCTTGGGAGGGGAAGGGCCAGGAAAAGGGCCCACCCCGCCCCCTAACAAACTGGGTTTGTGCAGACATCTTCAAAGTGTGGGGCACCCTCTGCTGCTGCTCCCAGCCAGACAGGCGAATCCTGACCCCCTTTTATCCCTACTCAGATTTCCTGTCACTGGTCAACTATCCTGAGGGTTCCTCCTGAGTTCAAGACACGGTGGTCCCAGGAGAGCCTCAGGCTCAAAGAGGCAGACGCAGAACGAAGCGGGGGGGGGGGGGGGGGAAGGCACAGACAAAGAACAGGAAGGGGCAGATCCAGGCCCAAACTCAAGCTCTGTGTCAACAGCTGGGCACCTTGAACACATCTAATCTTCAGGCCTCAATCCACTGGGAAAAAAAAAAATTTTAAACTTTTTAAATTTTATAAGGTTTTATTTGAGCCAAAACTGACAATTGCCAGGAAGATCTCAAATGCTTCTAAAACATTTTTTTAAAAAAACAAGATCTAAATTTCCCAGACCTTTCCTTCAAACACTAGTTATGTGAGGTTTAATGGTGGTTCTAATTTTTAAAAAAGTTTTGTAGTCAAATTTGGGAAATGCTGAGTTAAGCATGTTTCTATCTTTTTTTAATCATCCAAGGCCATTTTTTTTTTTTCAGTGCTTTTAGAGAGGAAGGGAGAAAATAACATCAATGCAAGAGAAAAGCATCAATTGGTTGCTTCCCATACAGACCTGTACCAGGGATTGCACGGTCCTGGACCAGGTGTCAAACCCTCAGCCTTTTGGTTACAGGACGATGCATCAACCAGCTGAACAACATTGGCCAGGGCCAAGTGTGTTTCTTTGCAGCAAGCTCTTGCAGCACATTTTGGCATGCTCATAAATTTTGAGGCCCTCAAAGAGGGCGTGTGATGTGCTGTGGAGGAGTGGTTTTAACAGAGAGCTGTCCTCAATGTGTGGCCCAATGGAGTTCCTCTGTGCTTGTTGAACACGTGGGCTCCAGGTCTTGCCTCTGACCTAGAGGAAATTGGGAGCTTGTATTTTACTTAACCTCCCCCCCATCCCCAAAATTTGAGACCACCAACAGAGTACGATTTAGGGAAATAAGGATTAGCAAGGGCCCTTCCAGCTAGGAAAACACCGAGGTTACAGACAAGGCCTGTGTTGTCCCCAGCAGCACCCGAAGTTGGAGCTGCTGCCTCTCTCCCGGACGCACCTGCAGGGCGTGGGCACTTTGTGGAAAGACCAGGCATTGACAAACGAGTTCAGGGTGGAAATCAGTCTAGGGCCAACAGTGCCTGGGAATTAGACATATAAAAATGGGAGCACTGTACCAGATGGTAAGCTACCACCTGAACCTGCACCCCCTTGTTAGGGGCCATTCTGCTCTTACCATAGAGAGTTGATGGGTTACATATTTTCCTATTATTATCATTGACTCATAACAAATCCAAGAATTAAAAAGATACTATCATTTCTCTTCAACAGTTAGAAAAATTGAGGCCCAGGGAGGTGGAGTAATTTGCTCAAGATTGGAGCCAGGACTTGCATATGGGTCTTAACATCATTGGAGCAACAAAAGAGAGCCCTCTAGACCAGGACATTCCTTTTGGAGCAGTAGCCCCAGAGGCCCCCAGGCTTTGGGAGCCTCCAGGCAACAGCTTGAGGAAGGGAAGCAAACTCAGGCACCACTTTCTTGGAGCCAAGAGATTCCTCTGAGGGTGATTTGACCTCTACTCAGTAGTCAGTCATCTTGGCCCTGGAGACACATGGGTTCTTAAGGAAACAATCCTCTGGGCATCCCAGCCTTTGAGAGAAGTGCTCTTCAATGAGAAAGGGCCCATGGGCTGATCAAAGGCAGTGAGCACCAAGTGGCTACAGCCCGCCATCTTCCTCTTTTGTCCTTTGGCTCCTGGTGGGAAGGGGCAGGAAGTGATTCCTGGCCAGTGGTTTCAATCAGAGTGAGGAAGGCTTTCAATCAGAATCAGGGCCCGTCTTCAGAAGCATTGACAAGATTCCCTCTCCTCTCTTGTCCCCCTAGACTCAGGTGTTCCTTTTAAAAAAATTAATTTAATTATTTTTAGAGGGGAAGAGAGGGAGGGAAACGTCAATGTGTGGTCACCCCTTGCGCACTCCTTACTGGGGACCTGGTCCGCAACCCAGGCATGGGCCCTGACTGGGAATCGAACCGGCGACCCTTTGGTTCACAGGCCAGTGCTCAATCCACTGAACCACATCAGCCAGGCCTAGGTGTTCCTTTATGGGCTTCCTCCAGACCCTCCCGGCCTCTGCCTGCAGCTCCTGCTGCCTGGACCTGAACTAGGGACAGTTCCAGCCCTCCTAAAGGCCACAGATAGGGTTGCAGGTGCCTTTCTGTTTTGCCCCATCTCCATTCTCCTCTTGGACCCAGTGTCAACCTCACACTGCCCTGGGCCCCAAGGACACTGAAAATGGGAGGATGTCCAGTATTTGGGGTCCATGTGCAGGACTGTCCCATACAGCAGCAGAAACACATTCAGCCCAGTGAAGTTTTTGATGTACTTGCCTATCAGCCTGTGGGCAGAATATGAGCAGATAAGCAACTGGGGTGGGTGATGGGCAGTGGGGTCAGGCTGCAGGCATCCTACAGTGAGGGGCTTCAGTCAGCTCTGACGAGTCTCAACAGGGCTGAGTTTCAGGGGCTGCTTCAGCAACAGCTCCCTCTGGAGGATAATATGATGGGTTCTCATTTGTTCCAATCACCAGGGCCCCAACTCAAGGGTGGTAGCCCATTTTCCCCAAATACAGATTGTGGGATTATGAGGATAAGGCGCCCAGGACCCCCAAAGTGAGGAGCTGGGTTTTCACAAGTTGCAGCGCTCCCCTGGGGCTGGGGGTGAGCAGGCAGGCCCTGGGAGCCCATTTGCCCCCACGTCCTAACTTGTCCCAATCCCTGGAGTGAGGGCGGGGCTTCCTGAGTCTCCTGAAGGAGAAGCAGCACCTTCCGGGGGTGGCCTGCCAGCGTGGAGCTACCACCTGTGTTCCTTTGTCTCTGCAGGCAGCATGTCCACGGCTCTGAAGTGAGTCACTCTCAGCCTCCTGGGCGGATCCAAGGCTGCCCTGGGCCCTGGCAGCTCCCAGCCCCCCACACATACTACATTAGTGACTTTAGGCGAGTCTTGAGCCTCAGTTTCCTTCTCTGTAAAGTGGAGATAATACCCTCAGTATGAGGCTCGGTAAACATAGAGGTCAATCATTTGCACAGTTATATATCTGGCACTTACTAGGCACTTAACAAATGACAGCATGTTTCTATTACCCTGGAAGAGCACAGATAGCACAGGAAATGAGGGCCACCTCCACTCCTTTACCCCCGTCCTCCAGTATAACAGGACCCCTACTTTAGGCAGCTCTGACCAGCACAGACTTGCAGCCAAGTAATGGAAGTGGGGTCTGTTTCTGCTGAGCCTGCCCCTCTCAGAACCCCTTTTCAAGCAAAAAGCCTTAAAACGTTGTCCCCTTGTTCACTTTTATGTCTTTCACATTTTGGTAAGAGACTTGGCCAAAAAGCCTCTCAAGAGAATATTTAAATGGTAAATATCCAGGCAGTCGGACAGATTTACGCTGAGGTGGGGGTGATTCAGACCACAGCCTGTAGGGAGCACCTCCATACCACCTCCTTGTAAAACTGCTTGGCTGTCCCTTTGTGTGCGCATGTGTGCGCATGTGTGTACATGTGTGAGTGCTCATGTTGAGGTATGAGATGTATTCCGAGCATGTTAGGTGTGAACGTGTTTAGAAGAGGGTGTAGGGGCTGGTCCGTGTGCCTCTCTGCCTGGGTGGACAAGAGGGGGCAGGCCTTGCCTCGTGCAGTCCCTTTCTGTTGCTGGACAAACAGAGGCAGGCCCTGTCCAAGGACCAAGAGCAGGCCCTTGGAGTTGTGCCTGAAGGGTCATCTGCTCTCTGTGTTACCCAGCGTCAGTACCATGTCACTGACGACCTGGTCGCTGACCCTGACTCTTCCTGCCCCTTTGCTCTTTCTAGCACCTGGCTCACCTCCTGGCACACATAAGCACTCAATAAATGTATGCTGAGAATGACAAGAACTGCTTCCTCCTCAGCCCCTGTGTCTCTTTCTCCCAAAGTCACACATTCCCTTGCCCCTTGTCTCTTGCTCAGATTCCCTGTAACTCACCGGAAATACGCTCTGTGGCCCCACCCCTCCCTTGGGCCGCATCCACCTTGGCCCAGCTTTGCTAGGATTGCCAGTTGAAGAGGTCGGGGAGGGATCAGCAGGGGCCCTCTGGGGTGGGAAGTCAGGGCTGTTGGTGAATTTTGGCTCTAGGGGAGGGAGCACATGCTTGCCCTTTTTCTTTTATCCTAAGGTGGTGGTCGCTGACATGGCCGCAACCTCACAGAATTCCCACCAAGCTGGCCACCCTCCCACCAAGGCCCTGGTCAGTGGCAGCAGGAGCGGGGAGCAACTGCCCCTGCCCCCTGAGAAGCCCTAGGGAAAGCCCGACCACCAGGGAGCAGAGGCAGGTGGCCTGATTGTCTGAGGCCTGGCCCCTGGCCCTGCCGGGGTGGAGGAGGCCTGAGGCCCAGGGGAGGGGTGTGGATGGCCGTGGGGGCAGCTGGGGAAGGGGTGAGCCGCGGCCCCCTGCGTGGGAGCCAGGGCAGAGATGCCAGGTGGATGTCCTACTTGTCAGGGCCACAAACTCAAAAGCTGGGGCTCTGCCAACTTCCTTTGTTGTTACCTTTCATCCTCCCGTGTTTGAGCAAGGCAGCACAAAGAAATATTTCTCTAATATAAGTAGAGCCACAGCATGAGCTCTGTGCTGCTACAAGGGCAGCCAGACCTTGACCTCTGTGCCAGGGACACATGAGGAATTGGTGGGGACTGTTGGGTCCTGGAGGCCACAGCCCCCATCTCAGGGGACAGCTCTGACACAGCTCCAACTAATTACGGCCATGTGGGAATGAGCCCAGTGTGGCCAGATCATCTTTTTTTTTCACAGCTGGAAATCCTGCTTTTCTCTCTCTACAAAATATCCCCACTTTCAAATGCTGACTTAAAAATGTTTTGCCTTCATCAGCGTGACTCAGTTGGTTGACCGTTTTCATGCAAAGAAACAGTCTCTGGGTCGATTCCTGGTCAGGGCACATGCCTGGGTTGCAGGTCAGGTCCCCGGTTGGGGCGTGTGCAACAGGCAACTGATTAATGTTTCTCTCCCTCTCTTTCTCCCTCCACACCCCTCTCTCTAAAAATAAAAAAAATAAAATATTAAAAAAAATATTTTTAAAACATCACAGCTACTCGAATACCTTTTAACTGTACGCAGGCCAAACACCATCAGAGGCAGAGAGAAGCAGAGACGAAGTGCCCTCCTTACTGCTGGGTGCCCGAAGCACCTGCCGTCTATTTACTTGATTCCGGCAGATGTTATATGCATCTTGCCTTAGAATGTGGCCCTACATGGGCTGGAACCTTTTTCTTTTAACCTGTGTCTCCGCCAGCCAGGTACATAATGAATATTATTTGAATCTGGCTTCTAGAGTGGCCCACAGTCCCTATTTAGGGACACAGAATTGTCAGGCAAAGCTGAAGGCAGAGCCAGCTCACCCTCGTGGGCTTGAGTCCCTGCCTATGACTTGGCCTGGTCAACACACTCCTCTGTCCGGTGGGACAAGCTGGGCAGCCAGGGTCACGTATTTGTTTGTCTGGTGTCTGTCTCTCCACTAGAACAAATGCTCCTTGAGAGCTGGCACGTGCTATGCCTTTGTCACCGTGATACCTCCAGTGCCTCAAATGGTCCCTGGGGAACAGGTGCTCAATAAATATTTGGAGAATGAAAATGTTTTAAAGATTTTATTTATTTATTTTTAGGGAGGGGGAAGGGAGGAAGAATGAGAAGGAGAGAAACATCAGCGCGAGAGAGAAACATTGATCGATTGCCTCTTGCATGCCCCCAAATGCGAACCTGGCCCACAACCCAGGCATGTGCCCTGACTGGGAACTGAACCAGCAACCTTTTGGTTTACAGGCCAGCATTCAATCCACTAAGCCACACCAGCCAGGACGGAGGACGAAATTTTTTAAAAGAGAGACAGAAATAAAATGAAAAGAGGTTGAAACAGGCTGAGACAGAAGCTGGGAGAAGAGCATGCTTGTGGCAGCCAGGAAGGACAGAGCAGAAGATGGAAACAGTGAAACACAGTCTCCTTGAGATACCCAGAGATGGGTTACAGGTGTGTCTGTGACCGAGTCAGTAACGAGGGCCAGCCAGCCAGGAGAAACCGTCCGGGGGCCGGACCCTGGAGATGCACAGACACCAAGGCAGAGGTGAGAGAGAGAGAAAGAGACAGAGAGACAGAGACCCAGACAGAACAAAGAGCAGACAGGAGGAAAGGAGACAGCAGCGAAAAGAAGATAAAAGAGCCCTGGCCAGGTAGCTCGGCAGATTAGAGTCTCTACCCGATACTCCAAGGTTGCTGGCTGGAACCCCCGGCCAGGGCACAAACAAGAATCAACCAATGGCCCTGGCAGGTGTGGCTCAGTTGGTTGGAGCATCTTCCTGTAACTGAAAGGTTGCAGGTCTGATTCCTGGTCAGGGCACATGCTCCGTCCCCCACCCAGATGCACATGGGAGGCAACCAATCGATGTTTTTCTCTGACATCATCTATGTTTCTCTTCTTCTCCCCCTTCCCCTCTCTCTAAAAACAATGGAAAATGTCCTCAGGTGATGATATTTTGCAAACAGTATGCAAAAAGGCATAAATAAGTGGAATAACAAATCAATCTCTCTCTCTCTAAAAATCAATACAAATTTTTTTAAAAGAGAGAAGGTACAAGAAATACAGGCTGAAGATGCATTACCCGGAGTAGAGTGACAAAGACTGATGACAGGGGTGGGGAGAAACAGGAAGAGGGTAAAGAGAGACAAAGAAATGAAAAGGGACAGAGAGAGGAGAGAGAACGATGGAGAGATTAAAGACAGAGAGATACAGAAAAACAGAAAGAGAGACAGGTGAGATAAAGAGATAAGGGGAGACAGGTTGATAATGAGGAGAGCTAGGGAGGGAGCTAGAGGAATAGGTGGAGAGGAGATAGAAAAGCACAGAGAGAGATGGAGAGAGGGAAGGAAACAGGGAGACAGGAGAGACAGAAAGATTGCTGTGACACTGGGGATTAACTTCTTAATTGTGCGTGTTTGTTTTTTTCTGGTTTTCCTAAGGAGTTTATTTGGGCGGACCAGGGGACAGGGAGGCCCTGCATCTAAAAGAAGGTGTTGGGGTCTCTTGGTGGTGAGGCATGGCTTGTACTGGCGACTGGAGGAGGATCCGGCGGGGGCAGCGGGAACTTGATCTTGGAGTCACGGAACTGCTTGACTGCCGGTGGGCGGCGGTTACTAGCCGCGATCTCCCCCACTTCCATGATCTGGATTGAGCGGGCCCGGGCACGGTGCGGCGCCCCCCATGTCTCAGTAGCTCTGGGTGACCGCGCCTGCGGTGGTCAGGTGTCGGTACACACCGTGGGTCCCACTACGGCATTAGTAAGCACAACCAAAAGCTCTTCACCCGGAGGGGGAATTTTTCGAACACTTGCCCACAGGTGTAGACAATTCCCCTGAAGATTTCTTCACCTTCTTCAGTTGAGACACAAAGTGCCGGAAGTGGGGCTTGGCAACGACATGGTTAGGTGCAAAGATTTGCAAGCGGTAACAGGGTGGTGTGCGGCACCTCGGGGTGGGCAAACAGCGCCGCACCACCCTGCACTCTCGCAGCGCCAGGCCTTCCTAGCGTTCTCTCCGCGTTTGCCACCACCCACAAGTGGCGGAGATTAATACTTTTTCTCCTTTTAACCCTGGAGCATGTAGAAGTAGCTTTGAGGGGAAGCAATGTCCATCTTTCCTTCCTCACAAAACCCCCTCCCCCCAACAATAATAGCATGGAAATGTGCCATACACTGCACAAAATTGCTTTACGTGCATTGCCTCAAAGCAGGCACTATCATTGTTCCATTTTATAAACGAAGAAGCTGAGGCAACACAGAGAAGTCCGGTAACTTGCACAAGGTCACAGGTGGCAAGTGGTAGGCCTGGGACTCCAGGGCATCAGGCACCAGGGGTTCTGTTCCCACAGTGGGGCTGTTGACTCAGTGGGACCAGTTCACGAGGGCTGCGGCCCCTGCATATAAGGGCTAACTCCTATGTACACTTGAAGCAAAGCTTGCTAGAGTAAGAGATGTAAGAAACAGGCCCTGGCCTGGTAGCTCAATTGTTTGGAGTGTCATCCTGTTACTCCAAGACTGCGGGCTTGATCCCTGGACAAGTCGATGTCTTTCACTCTCTAAAATCAGTAAAAGTAAAAAAAAAAAAAAAAAATTAATAGGAGGGAAGCACTTAGTAGTAATTTCTGCTGCATAGTATGCTCTCAATAAATGTTAGCTTTTATTATTATTTCTTTCTCTCTGGTGGGTTAGGGGTGGCAAATAATCCCTTATGCTCATATCAAATATAAAAGTATTCTCAGTGGTTTTTGCATATCACATTTCACTTTGCCTGTGGAAAGAAGATGTAAATTATTTCAAAGAGACATGTACATACTTTAAAATACTGAGTTTATTGTAGAAATCAGCACAGTGTTTTTTGGTAATGGTGTCTTGAGGAGTCAAGCACTTAGAAGAGCACTTGCACGCAAATTTGGCTATTGTTAGTATTTTTTTTGACTCAACTCTTTCCTAGATCTCAACCAACCCCACTGGGGAGGCCCAAGCATAACGGTGCATCTGCTCCAGCCGTGGAACTTTCACACCTGGGACCCTACCCAACCCCTCGGCGTCTGCTCCGCCTACAACCGGGCTCTTGCGCACGCCCCTAGCTCTACTGTGACTCCGACGCCACAGCCCTTTTAAGGATGGGAGGGGGACGGCCGGAGAAGGCTCCGCCTCCCCGCTGAGGTCAGCGCGCACCGCTGCGTATGACGCTCTGGTTGCCGCAGAGACGCCCCGCCCCCGCGCGGTGCTGCGGAACCGGAGCTCCGGGCGGCGTCGGCAGGGGCGCGGGAGGCGGCGAGGCCAGGGCGCAGGAGCCGGCGCAGCGACCGCAGAGGGAGCGGTGGGGACAGAGCAGACCACGACGAAGACGCACAGGCAGCCGGGCCGGGCCGGGCCACAGGGAGAGCGGCCGCCGGGAAGCGGGCGGGAAGCCGGGCGGGCAGCGGGCAGCCGCCGAGCCGCGAAGCGACATGGTGCTGCTCAAGGAGTAGTGAGTGTCCGCCCGGCCGTGCGGAAGCGAGGAGGAGGCAGAGTCGGGGATGACGACCTGGGAGGCTGATGGCCTGGCGGAGGGATGCGGCGGCCGGACGGGCCCCGCCGGGGTGGAGAGCGCTGGATGGGCTGCTGGGCGGCCCAGCGGGGGCTGAGGGGGCAGTGAGGGCCGGACAGGGCCTGAGGTGGGGCCGACGGGAATAGAGAGGGACGGGCAGCACCTGAGGTGGGGGCCCAAGGGGCACTGAGGGCCAGATTGACCTGCGGGGAGGCCGAGGGGGCTAGAGGGCCCGACAGGGCCTGAGAAAGGGTCAAGGGGACAGTGGGAGCTGGGCAGGGCATGACGGGCTGAGGGGATCGAGAGCACTGGGTGAGATGTGGGGTGGTTCTGCGGTGGGGGCTGAGGGACAGGGGGACCAGCCAGAACTGCAGGAGCGGCTGCCGGGAGCGAGGACCTGCGGGAGAGGGAGGAGTTGTCTGAGGGGCCGGGGAACAGTTAGACAAGGGCAGGCAGGGTCCGGAACCAGCTGGTGGTGGGGAGCGCTGTGGAGGGCGCACAGACTAAGGGGCTCAGAAGAGCAGGTAAGACGTCTTCAGGAATGGAGCTGAGACGATGGGAAGGGGTGCTGAGGGGGACCTGGAGAATGAATGGCTGCCTTAGGCATCAGGGGGGAAGTGGTAGTAAGTGGATAAAGGAAAAGAACTAGGGAGTCAGGGCCAGGCGCGGGTGACAGGGGAAGGGTGTGAGGACCCGCCCCTACAGAAGAGAAAGTATTGGGGGCAAAAGCTAAGGTGATTATTTGGGACTCAGGGACATTTGGATAAGGAGTCCAGAAAATACCTGGCAGGGGCTGGAGCGATCTGAGGGAGTGATGGAGAGGGCTAGGATGGATGTTACCAGGGTAGAGAATAGTTTGGAAAGAGTATGTTTGTGAATAAATATAAGAATCATTGGAGTGGAGTGGGAAACAGGAGCAACCCATCTCTAGGGAATTCGCAGCCTTGGGGCCAAGAGATGGAACGGAAGAATTGAAGAGGTTGCCATAAAGCCATTAATTGGGAAAAGACAGTGTAGGGTGAGGGAGTTCTTGAGTAGCGACTAAGGGGTGGGAGACTAGTGACTTCTGGGAGGAGTTGCAGAGAGACGGGCTTGCTCCTGCAGTCCAGGGGGTTGTATGAAAGGAGGGGGTTTGGATCGCTACGTTTGCCAAAAGTGAGATGACCCATCCCTGAAACTCATGGTTCCTAGGAAACATCTCAGGACTTTGTTTTTTCTTTGCAAAGAGGAGAGATTGGAGGTATGTGTGCGGCATTTACAATAAAACTGTGCTTCCCTGGAGGGGAGGGCAAGTGGACAGCATTGGGCCAGAAGCCCAGGGATTCTGGAAGTGAGAGACGTCCAAGTAGAGAGCAACTGGTGGAAACACTTGGTGGCCAAGCAGGTGTGTGGAGGGCTCTTTTTGTTTTGTCAGTGAAGGCACTTTGCCCACCTGACTTGCTCCTTGGAGGTGTTCAGGACATTTATGACATAGTGTAGGGCTTTGGCTAACAAAGGGAGCAGAAGCTCAGGCGTCATCCCAGCTTGACACTTCATCTAAAGAGTATTATTTTGAAGACCTCTGCCTTTGTTTTTTGATTCCCAGTCTGATGTTGACTCAGTCAGAGCTCAGAGCTTTACGTGGTGAGGAGGAAGAACCTTGGGATGCCGACAGGAGGAGAGCTGGTGCACTTTGGATTCTAATCTTGACTGTCCAAAAAAAAGGCTTTTTCCATTCTTCTGATCCTTTTTTCTATTCCCAGATGAATCCAAGAATCTGTAGAAACCTGTAGTTTTGTAAAGAAGGTCAGACAGGGAAGGAAAGGGACCTTCAGAAAAGATCTGAGTGAGTTTTTAAGAGAGGTCCTCCCTTCCCATTCTTTGTTCTTCTCCCCTTGAAGCCTACTAGGGGAAGCTCCCAGGTGCTGGGGATGCAGAGCCTGTCTGGCCTGTGTGTTTCCTTCCTGCCTGACTTGTGTCCTGTGTGTGTTTAGACACGTGTGTGCATCCCTCGGCAGGGGACGTGGAGGGGGGCATCTGAGCCACTTGGCTATGGCTGCAGCACTGCAGCTCTGGGAAGGGTGTGAGTGAAGGTCACACTGAAGTGAGCACAGCTCCAGTCTCAGCCCAGCGCTGCCTCTGTGGCCCTATCCTTGGGAATTGCATCCGAGTGCTTCTGGAGTAGTTTTGCTCCCAAGGAGCCAGGGAGAAATGTCCAGGTGTGAGCATCCTGTCAGGAACTGGCTGATGCCCGTCGCTTTTGCTGGTATCGAGACTTAGTGCCCATCCAGGGTCTGAAGGTTGTCTCTGTTGATTCTTCTGACACTTCCTCTAACAGGATTCTCCTTGATTTGATTTCTGCAAATTCTTGGATGTGATTTTTAATGCTGTTCTTGAAGATAAAAGGCTGATTGTTTTCCAGGAAGTTTCTACTGACGGTGCCGAAATTGTGGCCACCAAGTTGGAAGTATTTTTTTGCATTGTTGGCTTTTTCTAATGGGAGGAGAGCATTAGTAGCAGCATCCAGTAACCTGAAGGATTTACGTTATTTGAGTCATTCTGGAGGAGGGGAGTTAGAAGGCAGTAAAGACTTGGAGCCCATTTTGTTTTTCCTGCTACTTTTCTGCCTGGTGCTTTGCATGTAGTGTGATGTTTTTCCCAGACCCCTCTGTGTGCTTCTTGCTACCTGAGGGACCTTTGTGTAACTGGAAAATTATAAGTGGACTACTTCCCAGTCTGGAGCAAAGATCCGGATTGGTGAAACCACTGCACAGGACAGAGAGCATAGCAGCTCATGCTTCACCAAGCACACAAGATACAGGAGGCTCTGGGGGTTCCAGCTGGGGTCTGGGAACTGACATCGCAGCTTGGAAGCTGGCTAGATTTGTATGAATACAGCCAAGCATTTTCGTATCAGCCCTATGACCTCACAGCTTTGAACTGGGGGTTGGCTGTTGCTCTGCCTGACAAATGCAGGCCACCTGGAGGAGTGTCACTAGTCATCGCACCCATGTGGAGATCTGATCAGTGTGGGGGCTTTGCTGGCCATGGCTTCTCTGTCAGGTTTTTGGTGGTACCCCCAATAGTCGGTGGTCATTGAAATGTAGAAGGAAAAGACGGTGATCAGCTGGGGTGCCTTTGGACAGTTTCTGGAGGTCAGGGCACACGTTGGGCGTCTCCTCTCTTGGTGGCTTTGTGGTAGTAGTTTGTATTGTAATATCCTGTCCTAGAGCAGAGATGGTTGGCACATGCTCTTAGAGTGATTCAGCCTCCAAGGAGCTTGGCCCCTTCTAACCTTCATCTTGAGGGCTATATTTTCAGAAGGTTGGGTCCACAGAGATGTAATTCCCCAGGGCCTGTACCCTCACCTTGGCTTCAGAGTTTTCGGGGATGGGTGCTCCTGTGCTAACCTCTCTGTTTTACTAGACTCATTGGCAAGTTTTATTGGGGAGATTAGCGGAGGACGGGGAAAAAGCGGTCCCAAATGTGAGTCAGAGGCCTGCCTGGGAAGTAGCTGGTTGGGAGACAGGTTTGCGCGGAATCGCAGGGCTCTACATGGGATGCCAGAGGGGCACGGGGCGTCCTAGACTCAAAGCACTTGGGGCCCTTCTCTGCTGGGTTTCTGACAGTGAGTGTAGTGTCATGTGCAACAAAATGTTTGATATTATTCTATGATGATGCTTTAAGAGCCTTGGGCAGGTTTCAGAGCCTGAAGTTGTTACTGTTTTTCCCTCTCTTGTAGTCGAGTCATCCTACCTGTGTCTGTAGATGAGGTAAGTCCTTCTTCATTTTATCCATAGTTGTATATAATTGCTCCAAGTGGCTCAAACTCTTTGTATGGTTTTCATGTTTGTTCTAACATAAAGGTAATCAATACTCATGAATTTTCCTGGTCCTACTTTTGGTTGAAGGAAGGCACTTATTTATTTATTTTTTGAAAATGGAATATTTTGAGGATAGGCAAGGAAGTTTTTTAGAAAATTTTATTTTTCAATTAAAGTTCACATTCAATATTATTTTTTTTATTAGTTTCAGGTATACAGCATGGCCTATATGTGGTTAAACAGTCATATGTTCTATAAATTGTTCCCCCCAATATTCCCAGTATCTGTGTGGCGCCACACATAGTTATTACAATATCCCTGACTGTATTCTCTGTGCTGTGCTTTACATCCGCATGACTGTTCTGTAGTTACCAATTTCTACTTCTTAATCCCTTCACCTTTTTCACCCAGTCCCCCAACCACCCTCCTCCCCTCTGGCAACCATCAGTCTGTTCTCTGTAGCTATGAGTCTATTTCAGTTTTGTTTGTTCGTTTATATGACTCAGTCTATGAGTCTGTTTCAGTTTTGTTCGTTCGTTTATTTTGTTCTTTAGATTCCATGTGTAAGAGACATCATATGGTATTTGTCTTTCTCTGACTGACTTATTTCACTTAGCATAATATTCTCTAGGTCCATCCATGCTGATGTGAATGGTAAGATTTCCTTCTTTCCTACGGCCAAGTACTATCCCATTGTGTGTATGTATGTACCACAGCTTTCTAATTCACTGGTCTGTTGATGGACACTGGGGCTGCTTCCATATCTTGGGCTATTGTAAATAACACTGCAATGAACATAGGGGTGCATATACTCTTTCAAAGTAATGTTTTGGGTTTCTCTGGATATACACCCAGAAGTGGAATCACTGGGTCATAAGGCAGTTCTATTTTTAAGTTTTTGAGGACCCTCCATACTGTTTTCCATTGGCTGCTCCTCTCTGCATTCCCACCAACAGGGAAGGCACTTATTTTGTATACCTAGGCCACTGTGTACGACCCGCCTCAAGTTATTGGCATGCCAGTTGACTGACTAGAGACTGAATCAGCCCCCTTTACCTGCTAGGACTGTGCCTGTTTGGAGACATGTTATTGAAGGGATTGAGCGTGTGCATTTCTGGGACCTCCATGACTTGACTGGGAAGTGTGCATGGCTCTCTCTGGTTTTGCAACAAACCAGCAGGGCAGGAAATCTCTGAGGACTTCCCTAGCTACACTCTAGGTGACTGCTGGGAAGACCAAGGCCCAGAACCCTCCTTTTACGGAGGGCAGGGAATAGCAAATGGGCTTGGCTTGCCCTCTGTCCTTTTATGGTCCTTGGGCCTGTCATCTCTGACTATGGGCATCTGGCAGGATTTGTCACAGGAAAGTTTATAGGCCGTGCTGACTCAGAGTTGGTCTCTTGGACGGCAGAGAACTTCACAGAGCCTCCCTTGTCCCACCCTTTCTCTAAACTTCCTCCAGTCTCCTCTCCTGGCTCAGCCTTGCTCTTTGCTTCCTTCTGAGTCCATAGCCCTTTCCCCACCCCCACTTCCAGTGACGCTCAAGTTTGGGTAACGCTTGTCAGCCGGCGTAGTGCCCTCAGTCATTCTCTTCCGTGCAGTGTCGGTATGAAGCTCCTGTGGTAACTCCCAGTCTGTTCCAAATATGAAATGGACGTTTTAAAAATGAAAGCAGACCAACACTGTACACTTTAAGTGAGACAAATAACCAAGCTTCTTGCCCCCCCAGAAGTGGTGGGCAGGCATTAGCCTCCTAGAGGGTTGTCTCCAGTGGTGGGCCGCACGTTTGGTAAGGGCTGTGGAGGCCTGGGGGAGGGAGCCAGAGGTGGGCCTGGGACAAATCTCGGAGTTCTGGGAAAGGACAAGAGAAGCAAAACTGGGGAAGCTGGGGACAGGAGATGGCGGATAGATGCTGTGGTCCCTGGAGGCACCCAGGGTGTGTCTAGGGCCTGGGAACCACATGCTTGGGCTGACGGGCATTGGCTTGGGGGACCCTGTCAACCCACTTCCTTTGGGGGCCTTGCTGTCTTTATGAAAAATAGCAAGTGACGATTTTCCAAATCAGCAGGCCAAGCAGGAAGGCCCAGCATGTCTCTTACCCTGGAGGTCCTTGCTCTCGGGGGTCCCCTGACTCCCTCTCTGCTCTCCGGCATGATCCCACTCCTCCAGTCAGGAAGATGTCCCTGGGAACTTGGGAGCACCTTGGTTTGGCATTTATGGGTGAAATGGATCTTTCCACAGAGAGTTTCTCGATGGAAAAGAGGGTGGGAATGTCTCCGAGAAGCGCGGCAGACCCAGAGGCCCAGCACCTGCCTGGGGCCTCTCCTAGCTGCTCTGCGGTGTGGGTGGAGGGGCCAGAACACTGGCTGCTTATAGCAGGCCAAGGATGGAGGGGAAGGGGGAACTCTGAAGTGTCTGCGACTTGGAGTTTTAGCTTGTGATGGCTTTCTTGCAGCATTGAGGAAGTGGTGGGGTGGGGTAACAGAGCTGGAAGTCTAGGCAGGAGCTGGGAAAGTTAGGATTCATGTTTGCCTGCTGATGGTCAACCTCCTACCAGCTAGAAACTGCTGTTGAGAAAGCAGTGCATGGCCTAGCGTGGAAGAAGCAGCTACCCTTTTGATGGCTTGAACTTTAGTTCCAGAAGACCAGAAAACCTTGAATGGGAGGCCAAAGAAGAAACAAGTAATGATCAACCTTCTCAGAGTCTTTATCAATAACCCCGTCCTGACTCATGGTTCCCATGGGAACAGCCCCGTGTCCTGTGACTGATAGATTCACTTCCTAATTGGAGGCCAGATTTGAGGCCCTCAGAGCTTTCTGATTTAGGAGACAGGAAAGAAAAAACCATGTCTTTATAGCCATCCTGATGACTTGCATCGATATTTTGGGATGGAATTAGCTTCTGGCTGGCCAGGGCCTTGGGCCCAGCGCCATGCAGGGTGCCTGGGCCTTCTGAAGCAGAGCAAGGGAACCCTGGCTGTTCGACAAGGGGGTGTCCATCAGTGATCCCTGGCTCAGCACTGCCCACCCTCTCCAGTGGGCAGGGCTGTTTTACTTCTCATTTCCAAAGACACATGGCGCCATTGCCCTGTGGTAACTGGCCTGACGGGGCCCTGTGGGTGGGACCGACAGCGGTGCTGGTTTGTTTAATGTCAGCGTTTTAGGCCCACCCACAGCATCTTCATGGGCTCCTACTCCCAGATTGCCAAAGGAGTGGATTCTCTTGTTTTTCTTAGCTGAGCGTCTTAGTTCTTTGGGACAGGGGACAAACCTGAAGGGCAGGGAGCAATGTCCTAGGCCTGAGGCGGCTGGAACCCCAGTCCCCGCAGGGCTCTTTATCTGCTTCTGTGGTCTCAACCCCACTCCCACCTTCACCCCATTTGAGCCTGGCTGCTTTCTGCTTTCCCCGGATGGGGAGCCACTGTGCCAGAGGGATCCCTTGGACAATGACAGTGTCCTTCACTTGTGGCTTGCAGAGGCCAGTTTTACTTACCCTTTTGGATTAACAAAACTGCTGTCACTTGTCTCATTGGGATTAAAGGATCAGAGTATCAAGGGAGATTAAAGGGGGAAGATGCCAGTCTAACAGACTGATCCTCTTAGAGCCTGCCCTCTGATTCTGCAGCTGAAGAGGAACCAGTGAAGGGGATTAGTCTCAGCTCGGAGTCCCTCCCCAGGCAGCGCCCCCAGGCAGCACCCCCAGGCAGCACCCCCAGCCGGCCACGCAGTCCCTGCCACCAGACCTTGTTCCCTCGCAGCCTGCCCTTTAGGATTGCTGAGTCAGTGGTTAGGTGTTCTTGTGACTCTTCTCTGAAACAGAATTACTGCTCCTCCTTAGGAGCCCCTGGCTCAGCCAAACCTTGACCCACTTGAGAGGGGTTTTCACATGTGCCTCAGCTAGGGGGTGGCCTTGCAAAGGCATGGGGACAACTTGGGGTTCCACGGGTGCATTGAAGCAACACTGATGTTGCTCTGGATTAGAAGGGTCAAGATGACTGGCTGTCGCCCCACTGCTCCTCTTTATGGGATTAACTGAGCTTTGGTTGCTTGCCTGGGCCCTTCTTCCTTGGCATTTTGTTCTGGGTTTTTGCTTTGGAAGGTAGGGCTCTTTCAGCTTTGTGGTGAACAGTAAATTGTCGTGGTCGGCTGTTTCCCCTTCCAGACTTTGCCCAGAAACTTCCCTGCAGTGCTTAGGAAGCTGCCTGGTTGAGTAAGCAGCCAAATTTGAGGGGAAACAGCCCTGGAAGCTGCCTCTGTCCCTTGCTTTTGCAGGCAGTGGTTTAAGTGACAGCTGCCCAGAGAGACAGCCTCTCTGTGTTAATCTCAAAGGGAGAAAAACGCTCTCATCTTTCACTCTTGGGAGTACTGGTAGCTTGGGGAGGGGGCATAGAGGGCAAGGAAAACCTTTATCTCCCCCCACAACATGTTGGGTCACGAAGTACCTTTTTCTCAAACTTCCTAAATTGTTGTGCCTGGTTGGCACTGGCAGTGACAAGCAAGATGCATCCTGTGGTATAGATGTAATTTCCTGCTTTAAATGCTTCTGTTCGTTCTCTTTTCACCTTATTTTCTATCTAGACAGCTTCCTTCAGGGAGAAGGGAGCAAAAGGGCCAGGCCTGGGCACTGCCCAGGTCATTGGCCCTAACACTGAGTTGTCCTGAGGGGGTCAGAGGAGGCCAGTGATCTTGACTGGTGACTTGATCGGGTGGCATGTGACCCAAATAAAGGAAAACTAGGCTTTTGCCATCTAGAAAGCGCCAACCTAGAGTGTGTACCAGCCAGCAGAGACTGTGGGGTAGGAATCTGTGCTATCTAAGTACGGGAAACAGGGCACTTGCATCAGCCCCATCCGGAATCCAGAAAGTGTCAGGAGGCCTGGTTGCCTGCAAGACTGTTTTCTGAGCTGCTGGCGGGGTGAGGAGGGGCGCACCATTGGAGAAAGAAGTCATGCCTTAGGATCTGTTTAAATAAGTGGAATAAATAGACATCTGGCAACTACCCCAGATTTGCTTGGAGGTCTTAAGAGCAGGGCAAAAGCTACCTTCAACTCTGTGATCTGCATGGTGGTGTGAAAATGGAAGAATGAAATTAAATACATCTGATGGCTAAATGGAGCAGCGTTCTCAATTGCTTTGGGTGGATTTGGGCAAGGCCCTGTGTGAAGCTTCAGAATAAGTTCTTGGATGGGGGGACCCCAGAGTGAACTAATTGGTCAGTTACTGACAAATGGACCGTGTGTAACTGTTGTGAAGAGTCCACATTGACAATGACTCCTATCTCTCTGTTCCTTTAGTATCAAGTAGGACAGCTGTATTCTGTGGCTGAGGCAAGCAAAAATGAAACGGGTGGTGGTGAAGGCGTGGAGGTCCTGGTGAATGAACCCTATGAGAAGGACGGTGAGAAAGGCCAGTACACACACAAGATCTACCACTTACAGAGGTATGTGGCTGTGCAGCAGAGCCTGAACATGGCCTGGTTTTGAAGTGGAGACAGTGGCTGATTGGGGGTTTCCGGGTTATTAGCTGGTTGCTCAGGTTGCTTCACCTGTGAGAGTGTGTGTAGATGGTAGTACTTCTTTATTCATTTAAAAGTTTTTAGGTCGCTTTTTGTTTTATTTTTTTATTTTTTTTTAAATAAAAGTAGTACTTGTGTTACCAGGCTCCCGGTCCCCAGAGGTGATAGTGTTTATTTTCTTGTGGGCCCTTCCCACAGTAATACTCATTGTCTGTGAGTATAGGGGGGTGTGTGTATGTGTGTGTAAGTGGGTGTTCATTTCCTTTATTGTTAGCTTAACATGGATGTTATCATACTATACGTAACTGTTGTTGACTTTGCTCTTTTGTTACTTATCATATCATAGCTTTCTTTCACTGTCAGCAATTTGGTTTCATTCTTTTGAAGTACACATAGCGTTATTTTGGCAGATGTGCTGTAAATTGGTTCACCTGTCCTCTCTGGATGTATTTTTATAGTCATTTCCAGGTGTTTACGTAGAGTACTCCAGTAAAACTCCTGTGCAAATCTTTTGATGTACTCATGTGTGTAAATCTATAGTAAACGTTTCTAAAAGTGGGATTGCTGGATCAGGTAGTTTTCTTGTTTTTCTTTTAAGTATTTTATTTATTTATTTTTAGAGAGAGCAGAAGGGAGGGAGAGAGAGGGAGAGAAACATTGATTGGTTGCATCTCCCACACCCCCAACCAGGGACTGGGCCCATAACCCAGGCATGTGCCCTGACCAGGAATCAAACCAGCAACCTTTCAGTTTGTGGGAGAATGCCCAACCAACCAAGCCACACCAGTCAGGGCTGATGAGGTGTAGTATTTTAAATTCTGATATTGTGAAATCAGCTACCAGAAAAATGTTGGTACCTCTCTTTGGATCAAAGACATAAATATTTAAATATTTGAACTGATTTGTGTATTGAAATCCACAGCAAACAACACAGATTTGCTAAATTCCCCAACTAAAACAGTATTACAGTATATGCCAAAAGTAGGTTTACAGTTTTGAGTACATGAAACACAGAGTTTATTCTGGTATTATTTTTAATCACTGTTTTATTTTCCATATGAACAACTGTAAACCTACTTTTGCCCACCCTGCATGCAGACTCAGCTGATCTGAAGGGTGTTGAAAGCAGTAGTAAACATATACCAGCTAGAATAGAAGTTCAACCAAGCAAGTTATCCAAAACTGGAAAAAATTAACCTGAGTATTTTAAAAATTGTGATAAAATATACATAACACAAAAGTCACCATTTTTACCATTTTTAAGTGTACAGGTCAGTGGCAGTAAGTGCATCCACATTGCTGTGTAACTTAAACCTGAATTTTAATTTCTAGTCACCAGACTGAGCTAAAATCAATTTCATCTTCATTGGGTAAAATCCCTGATTTAATGTCGTGTGCCACTCTGGAGATGTAAAGTACTAGCCCAGAGGGGGCCAGGATTTTGTGAGTGCTGGCACCAGGAGGAAAGCAACGCTGAGGTGAGGGGTGGGGGCATCTCACCGCAGTCCCATCTCCTTGCCAGTGTGCTGACTCCTCTGTGCCTCCTCTTCCTCCTCCTTCCCTCCTCAGAGTTGACTGACAACTAATCCTTACTGAGCCCTTAACAATTCATTAAAATAAGCCTCAAGATGTTATGTCAACTATAATTGGAAAATAAATTTAAAAAATAAAAGATTTTTAAAGGCTCAAGATTTGTCTTCTCCATAGTTCCGTTTGTATTTTTTTAAAGAGGATTTTGAAAAGAGATAATGAGGTTGGTAGAAGGGGCCAGTTGGTTCATCAGCTCAGCCGGTCCCACCAAAGTCGCAGAGAGGAGGTCTATAGGACCAGTCTTACCCTCCTCCTTACAGGAGGGAGTGTCAACTTTGAGCTGCTACCACGATTTCCTTAACTCCAAACATACAGCTGCAAAAAAAAAAAAAAAAAAAAAAGGAAAAAAGTGCTGAATGCCACAGCCACCTCTCTTCATGAACACCAAAGCCTTCCTGTGAGCCACCTAGTTGCTTACCCCAGTCAGGAACATGGGTTCACCAACACCCTCTTCCTTTTCCCTTATATCAAATCAAGTTCTGTTGACTGTGCCTCCTTAGTACCGCCAACCTTTCCATTTACCTCACCATCTCTTGCTTCAGTTACCATTGTAGCTCCTAACTGGTCACCTTGCTTTCCACTTCACACAGATTTGAGTGTTCTTTCTAGAAGACGGATCTGTTGCTCCCCAGCTTAAAAGCTGTAGAGGGCTTCTCTTTGCCCTCAGGATAAAGGCCATACTCTTTGATGTAACTTACAAGACTTTTTATGACCCAGCCTCTGCAGGTTCTCCTGTATTCCCTACTTTATGCCTGACACCAGCTGCTCTGAACTTCTCCCTCTTCTCCTAGCTTTTCCTACCCCACTCCTGTCCTTGTCTAGCTCAGTCCTTCTCTCTCTACTCTATATGTTCATTTAATCCTTATGAGGAACCTCCTCGTACACCATGCTGCCGGCACCGTGTTCTCCTGCGCTCCGCCCCCAGAGCCCTGTGCTCACCTGTTATGGCACACACAGTGCTGGGCAGCACTGGTCGGTTATATTCCCCACCAGAATGTCAACTCCTTGAGGGCAGGAGCCAAGTCTCTGGGGTTCCAGGGGCCTGGTACATGGAAATACTTATCTGAATGAGCATGACAGTGAGTGCGAACCTCAGAGGGTTGCCTTGAGTGCTCTGAATTAGATCCCAATTGGGGTTAGCTCTTTTTTCTTGGGCCTCAAGCACTAACGTTGATGAGATTGTTGGAGCCTGCTAAAGACTGCTTAGAATACCAGCGAAAAACTAAGGAAGAGGAATATTTAAAAAATATTCCTTTAAAAAAAAAAAAATAACAATATGGGCCCTGAGTGGTGTGGCTCAGTTGGTTGGGTGTCACTCCACAAAGCAAAAGGTCACTGGTTCAATTCCCGGTTGGAGCACATGCCTGGGTTGCGGGTTCAGCCCCTGGACAGGGTGCATACAAGAGGCAACCGATCGATGTTTCCCTCACACATCAATGTTTTTATCCATCTCTTTCTCCCTCCCTTCCCCTCTCTCTAAATATAAATAAAATCTTTAAAAAAAAAATGGACTCTTAACTGAACATGCTGTTCTGTAACCTGAGACAAGAAGCATTAAATAGAAGAAAATATTTTGTCCTGGGAGGCAGATGGCCCTGAGGGCCTCCTGGTGCCCCAGAACTAACAACAGATCAGATCATCTTGGATTCCATACTCGAAGTCAGTCAGTCTGTCTTGCTGGCCCATAAACCTGGACTGGTGTACTCTTGGAGGTAGCTTATCCTTGCAGTGTGGAGTATAATGTCCTGAACCCAGGGGGCTCTGGGAAAAAATCCTAGTGATCATGTAATGGCTGATAAGCTGTAGTAGGTAGCCTGGGGTCCTGTTCCCGTCCTGGTGGGTGGCGGGACACAAGTGGGTGGATATTGGGAGCCAGGCGAGCTGCGGGTTCAGGCTCTGACAGGTGGCTTCACACACACAACAGTAACCTACTTATCTCATGGAAATTTACTTGTCAGTTCCCCACTGAAGAAGCTGGAGCTGTGGCTGGAAGAATGTGATGTTAAAGCCCATTGTCTTCTAATTCTCTCCTCCATTTCTCTTCATAACCCCTTTTTCTCACTATAGCAAAGTGCCCACGTTTGTTCGAATGCTGGCCCCAGAGGGAGCCCTGAATATTCATGAAAAAGCATGGAATGCCTACCCTTATTGCAGAACTGGTGAGTGCAGACCTGGCTAAAGCTGCAGTTTGGGCCCCAGGAAGGACAAGTGGTCAAGTAGACCCATCGGTGGAGATGAACTAGGGTTTTGGGTCTCCCATTCATTTCCCACATTAAGCCAGTGGATGCCTGAGTTTAGGGACGCCCTTCAGACCTGAGGCTGCTGGTGTCAGTGTTGTCCGCCAGCAGGGCGAGAGCCACCGAACCGTCATGGCCTGAGCCGGCACAGAACCAACCCCTCTTATTCAGGGACGGTGTCATAATTTTGGTTTTTACTAATTACAAAGTAATGTTTTCTGTTTAAATTTTAGAAAGTAGATACAAACAAAATAAACTGACCACCCATGACTCTCTTATCTCTAGGTAGTCACTGTTAACATTTTAATGTCTTTTTTTTGTAGTCCTTTTTAAAATCTTACATATGCACACATTAGAAAATCTCCAGACATGTTTCCTAGACAAATTTTGGATCACATTATATTAACTCTTAAATTGTTTATCTTATTCAATAAATGGAAAGTCTTTCCTCTGTTACTACATAGTCTCCTATTTTTTAAAATTTGTAATGGCTGCTTAGTATTGCATTGTATGAATGTGCTGTGATCTTTTTAAACCAATCCCTTATTATTAGATGCTGAAATTTCCAGCTTTAATGTGATATATTTGTGTTTGGCTTGAAAAACAGCGTTGAGGCCAGGGACCCTTGAGAGAGGCAGCCATCACAGAAAAGGGCCTGTGGCATGACCTTCCCGCCCTGGGGAAGGGCCAGGCCCAGACACCAGGAAAAAGTAGCAAAGGAACCCTGATGTTTTTGGGAAAATGGAAACAAGCCCCATTTTTTATGACAAAGGGTTTAGAATCAGCCACGCCTCAGATGTATTCTTGCACCACAGAAAGTGCGCGCCAGATTTGGAGGGGGCAGGAGGCCAGGAGGAGGGACGTCAGTTAAGGACCCTGACTGGCTTCCTACTCGGCCAGCAGGTGGGAGTCGGGGTGGAATCATTTTCTTAACCTTGGCCAGTCTCCTATCCGGAGTTTCTGGAAAGGAAAGATTTGAACCTCGGCAGAAAACTTTCTGTTTTGAACTTTCTGGGATTCCCTTTGAATAGTGCAGACTCCTAGCTTTCCACGATTCCAGAGTAGATCCCTTGGAGGGCCCAAGTTGGCACTGATCCTAGGGTGGTTCCTAGGGATCCCCTAGAACTTAGCGATGAGGTGGGCGGCCTTTCGCCCAGCCCACCTACATTTGTGTCCACAGTCAGTCTGGCTACAGGGTCCTCCTGCCAGCCCCTGCCTACATGCACTGCTTCACTTGCCTTATTTATGGGGGCCTGGCACTCCCTAGATTGTATCTGATGAGGATGTTCCACCCATGTGGTCATTATCCTGTGAACTTGGGAATGATTAAAGTCTAGAGCACAGGGTCATTGCTCTTTCCAATCCTCAAGAACCTTGTGTCAGGAGATTAACAACCATTGACAGGACCTGGGGTGTGTGGGTTTTATTGCTGTAGCCAAAAGTGCAAATGTCACTACTCACGAAGCACTGGGCAAGAAGCTGTTAAATTCCTGGACAAGAGGCATGCACGCACTTTCTTAAAAGACTATGCGCTGTGGCTGGGCATGTCTGGTCCAGGGCCAAAGGTGAATTTTCTTGATGTCTAAGAGAGTTGCATTGAGCATGCGTCATAAGAACCTTTGCCAACTTAGCATAAAGGAGGCAACAGATAGCATGGCCTCCTCCATACCTGGGGCAGGGTTCTGGGTACACAGCTTGTGCTGACTGAGGGATGCCACTGTCCTCTGTGTAATCTAGGGAGTGTGCTGCAGCTGACATGGGCGGTTTTCTAGCCATCAAATGTTCGTTTACATATTGTTCTGATCTTTGGCCAAAAGAAAAAAAAAGATAAAAGTAATTCCTAAATACTCCACAAAGAGGAGGCAGGGGAGGGGGAAAGAAAGGTTTCTTCAGTGGGTGCTGACCTCACACTCACAGTCACCATCTTACAAAATGAATATGTTGAATCTTAGATCTGTTCAGTTAGACACTTGCTCTTTTAAAATAAAATAAAGAGGGCTAATTTCCGGTGCCCTCTGGGGGTTGGTGGGAGAAAGATGATTAATTCAGACATCTAAGATTGGTCCAAGTAGATCAAAGTTTGAGGCAAGATGGATAAAGGAACATGGAATAAATTCCTCACGCTTTTTGAAGGCTCTAACGTTACTCTGAGTGGAATGAAAATGGAGTTGGAATGCTGTACTCACCATCAGCTCTTTCTGTCCTCATACCTCATTTCTCTCTGTCTCTTTCTCCTTGCTGATGGGTTGGGACGTGAGGAGGCGGTAAGGTGGGGTTTGGTCTGTGAATGAAAAGAGGAACAGAAAAATGTTTGTTTCTCTTTCTATCTCTCCTTCTAGCCTTAACCCTTGGCTGAATAGTCTAGCTAAGCCCTGGTTTTAAAGTACTTTATTTGGAGAGCCTGATTTTCAAACTTCAAAGAGTTTCCTGGGACTTTCCCAGTGTGCTCAGGGTTGCAGTCTGAGGAGAAGGGAGTGCTGTGCATGCAGAGGTGTCCGGAGGAGCAGGAAGTGGAGAGTAGGGAAGACTGGTTGGTCACCCAAGTTGCCATTATGGGCCACAGAGGGTCATCATCTTCGTAGATTCAGAGACCTAATTTGTCAGAACCGAGTGGATCTATTTCTCAGGTTCTCAGAAAGACTAAGGTAGGCCTTTGCCATGTAGCTCAGTTGGTTAGAGCATCATCCCAACATGCCAAGGTTGTGGGTTTGATCGCTGGTCAGGGCACATACAAGAATCAACCAATGAATGCGTAAATTAGTAGAACAACAAATCAATATCTCTCTCTCTCTGTCTTTCTCTCCCTCTCTAAAATCAATAAATTAAAGAAAGGAAAAGACTAAGGCATAAATAAACACCCCATGTGCCAATATATCAAGTTATATTGAAATCTAAAATTACTAATAAAACCAGATATTCCTGTTGGCTGATCAGGATGTTCTTTCCTTGTGGGCTCTTTTACATGGAAAACCAAAGTATAATCAGAATGCCAGTATGTAGAGACAATGTTCACTTGGTTATGTGATCAGACTCTTGTGTCCATTGATGAGCATGTTCTGTCTGTACAAAAACCAAACTAGAGGGAGAAGGTCGCTTGGAGAGCATGGTTCAGAATCAGGTGGTGACTTGGAGAACCATAGTGGCTGGGGTCATCAAACCAGGCCAGCACAACGCTGCTGTCTCCACTCTCAGGACGGGGCTGCTAGATGTGCCATGTTCACAGCTCGAGTCTACCCCTCCTACATCGGCCCTGGGGAATTTTTACCAGACTGGCCTCTGGACTTCCCCTTGATGGATATTATACTCCCTATGTCCTTTTTGTTAACACAGTTTTCTCCAACCTGACAGCAGAGCATTTTTTCCAATAAGCTTTTTAATTGTAATCTTAATCTGATGTTTTCTTCCAAGTCTCTTTCTTTGGACTCAGGGAAATTACTTACAGTCTCTTGAATTGTTTCTATACAAGGTAGATTTTATTCCTTTTATTTCAACTTTTCCTCATCTCAATCTTAAGAGATAACCTTAGTTACAGGTTTGGAGTTTGGACGTTTGACTGTTAGTCCCATAAATGTCCAAACATGGCAGTGTGGCATCCATCAGAAATTGAGATAGCTCCTAAATTCAGAGGGTACAGAATGATCCGGGCTGTTGTCAGGAGGAGAGCTAGCCTGCTCCCCAGTGACATTGGAGCTGCAGTCATTTTCTCTGATAAATAATTGAACTGTGCTTTCCGAGGGGGTCTCATTACAATGAGCGGGAGTATGGAGGGTTAGAGGTTTGGTTACAGCAAGAGGAGGGATGCAGAGGGCAGATAGACAGTGCCTGGCCTAAAGCACCCTGCCCTGTGCCCCTGAAGTCGGGGGACACCAGGACATGCTCTGAGGCAGCGCGGTAGGTCTCCGTGCTTCAGCTTCTCAGAGCCAGTCCCGGTTCCGTGCCCAGCTGGAGAGAATCTCAAGGAGCTGATAGTGGCATTTTTTAAATTAAATTCCAGGTTTGGCCTTTTGGGACTCTTGTATGATTAAAATGTGAGGGTCGGTGCATCTGAGGTACCGAATGCACTCCCTGGGGCTTGGGGGTGATGGTGGGAAAAGCCCCAGGGAGTGGAGAACTAACTCTTCACTGCCACGGTCTCTGGCGCTGAGGGGCAGATATTTATTCATCCTCATTAATCTTTTTCTCTCTTCTTTCCATGTCCCTGCCTTGGAGCAGTTATTACAGTAAGTATTTTCCAGGGGAGGGGGATGATAGAATTGTAGATGATTTATGAGAATAGAAGAAATAAAAATGTGACCGCACGGGAGGTTCCTGGGTGTTCCTCTTATTTTTTTTCTTTTCCTCTTTTTCTTGTGGGTGACTTTTAGAGCTGTTGAGACTTAACCCTTTCGGCCCTAAGGAGGAACCTGTTAATTGGCAAAGTAGCCTTTCTTTAGGCGGCCCTGGCACGTGGCTTTGTCAGGTGCAGCATTCATCCTATGGCACCCTAGCCATGGCACCCTAGCTGTGGGTCTCACGTGTGCGGTGTGACCCGAGGGCCCCCCCGCCCCCGGCTCTCGCCAGGGTCGTGCAGAACTTCAGGTCAGCCGGCCTGAGTAGGGTTTCCCACTGGGCATCTGGTGACCGCAGGGAGCACTGACCCTTGGCCAAAGTATGAAGTCAGCAAGGCTTCAATTCCATGACCATCTCATTGTCCCTTCTCTCCACCGTTCAGCATCCTCATCCAGTACCTTGTCCCTGCGGGTCAACACAGGCAGTCCTTGGGAACCGAATCCCTGCTAAGGAGTTCAAGGACTAATGTGTTCTTCCCTTGTGTAGTTTCAATTTTCCAAAAGCACTAAGGGAGGAAGGTAGTAGTTAGCATGAAGAGTTAATTTGCTGAGACGAGAACATTGGGCCTCAGCAAAAGGCTGGCTGAAGGGAATGGGGCAGTGATGAACATTCATGGTTGGGAGGAAGTCGTCTGTGCCCTTCTCACACCACTAATTAAGCATGAGCACCCTGTGCATAAGGTAGTATGGCAGAGAGGTTAAACCATGGATTTTGAAGTCAGACAAACCTGATTTTGAGGCCCAGCTCTATCTTTATCTCTGTGACATTAGACAAGTCACCTCACCCCTTCAACCTTCACTTTCTTCATCAATAAAACGAGGGTGACATTACTACTGACCTTGTAGGATGGGATGAAGATCGAGTGAGATAATGCATGTCTAGCCTATTGTGGGCTCCTGGTAAGGCTCACTGTTACTATTAGACAGAGGTTGGAGTCTCTCGACTGCTCATGATACAGAAATAGTTACTTTCCAACTTTGAGCCTGGTGACTGTAACATATTTTTCCCCCTTCCAGAATGAGTACATGAAAGAAGACTTTCTGATTAAAATTGAAACATGGCACAAACCAGATCTTGGCACCCAGGAGAATGTAAGTAGCACTTCCTGAGAGCCCAAAGGCTTCCAAGCCTCAGAGCAGGGAATTGAGGCTCTGCCCCGTAGCTTCTCCATCCCTGTGGTGGGGTCTTCTGTGTGCTTCCCTTTTTCCCGGCTTCTGCCTAGACCTGTCCTACCAGCATGGGATTCCTCTGCCTCTAATTTGCAAAATGTGATCTCCAAGCCTCCTTATAAGCTTTTTTGTAGTACTGGGATTCATCTAAGATGCAACTCCTGGCACAGAGGAACTATATTTTTAAAATATCAGAATTACAGCTTCTCTAGAGCATAACAACTCCTCAACTTTAAAATACACCTATCACCCTGGCTGGTGTGGCTCAGTGGATTGAGCACCGGCCTACAAACTGAAAGGTCGCTGTTTTGATTCCCAGTCTGGGCACATGCCTGGGTTGCAGGCCAGGTCTCCAGTAGGGGGCATGCGAGAGGCAATAGATATTTTTCTCACATATTGCTGTTTCTCTTCTCCCTTCCCCTCTCCCTCTCTCTTAAAAACAAAGTAAATAAATAAAATCTGTAAAATACACCTATCCTTTACCCCACACAGTTATGTTTCTATATGTGTGAAATAAAAATAACATATATAAGATTCATTGTAGCATTCTGTAGCCAAAGATTAAAAACAATAGGAAAGCCCTGTTTAATAAATTCTGACCATATAGTCATATATTATGTAGCCATTAGGCTACATAATAGCTTTGGCTGGGTGGCTTAATTGGTTGGAGTGCTGTCCTGTGCACCAAAAGGTTGTAGGTTCAATTCCTGGTCAGGGGGCATACAGGAGGCAACCGTTCAATGTTTCTCTCTCACATGGATGTTTCCCTCCCTTTTTTTCTCTTTTCCTTCCTCTCTCTAAAATCAATAAACATATCCTTGAGTGAGGATTTAAAAAATAAATTAAATAAAAATAAAAGGAACCAACAGGGAAAAATCTTCAAGATAAATTGTTCAGTGTTTAAAAAAGCAAGATGCAAAATGGTTTCGTATTAAAAGAAAAATCTTCACACATGGATGTTTGTAAGTGCATAGAACCTGGTACCAGTAGTGTTAACTTGGGAGGGGACAGGGAGACAAGCAAGAGAGTCACTCTTTATCATATCCTTGTGTACATTTTGTATTTGTATCATAATTTTATATCATGTACATCTACAGCCTGTTTTACTTAATTTCTTAAATGCATCAAAATAAACAGTATATGGCTAAGCAAGCAATATCTCCACAAGTGTTCATAGTCTTTACAAAGGGAGAACATGTGGAAATGATGTAGGTAACGGTAGGTAGCCCTGAGAGTGTTCTGGGCACTGAAGTGGTGCTTCGGCTGAAAAATCAGAGCATTAGTTCTTAAATGTGTGTGTCCACTTAAAATTCAACCCGCCATTCCTTTGAATGATTTTGTATATAATTCTTTACTAATAGAAATCTCACATCTCTGGCTATGGGAACAGCAGTTTTTAGGTGTCCCTCCTGTGTAAGTGGTGCTTTGTAACTGATAAAAACCACACAGTGGTCCTCTTTGTTCCTGCAGGTGCATAAACTGGAGCCTGAGGCATGGAAACATGTGGAAGCCATATATATAGACATTGCAGATAGAAGCCAAGTACTTAGCAAGGTAGGAACTGTTTAAAGATGTGGGTGGCCTTTGAGATGCAGAAATGACTTCTAAGTGTCAGAGAAACCAGAGAACCCGACTCAACTTGGCTGCAAGCGAAGCTCTCTCTTGGGTATCACTTGTTTTATTTTTTAAGTTAGTATTAATGACTCCCTTGTCTTGACCTGGGAATACCACTAGAGAAACAGTGGCCCGGATGTGAGTGTCCTCTTTGGCCTCTGTAAATTCTCACTGGACAGTGTTGGTGCCGTTCGAAGTCCAAGTGTGATTTGCCCTGCTGAAGTGACACTTAGCCTGAAAGTAGTTCTCAAGTTTATTTTTCCAGCCCAGTAATTAGGAAACAGTTATTGTCTGCCTCTTGTATTTGGAGTATTTTGTTCTGTGTGTTCCAGACGAGGGGTGTTACCGATGTGTGAAAAGACAAGTCCCCTGCCCTCAAGAAGTTGGTAATGGCTTCTTGGAGTAACAAGCATGGCAGCAGGTGGTAGAAAGGACAGTCAGTCCATTGCTTGGCCATATAGTTGGAGAGCGCAGGGACCGGCTCTGCCATGCTCACTGCTGTGCTCCCAGAAAGGATGTTTAGGAAAGGACAGGACAGGTCTCCGTCACTCAGGGCTCCTCTTCTCTGACGGGCCTGTTGGGATCAGGGCACAGGAATTTGGCTCTCTGCCCATTGGTAGGAATAATGTGTGCCCTTCTATCCCAGGGGTATGATACCTCTTTCCTGGAGTCACTCTGTGTGCTTAAGCTACTTTGACTTGTGCATTTCCAAAAAGATATGAAAACCATCTTGTGCTTCCTTACCTGATATTCTCACTCTTCACCCTCAAAATGTGAGTGGGTTTTTCAAAAAACTTTCTCTTGAAGTATAACATACATAGCAAAGTGAATGTATCATAAGAGTACAGCTTGATGGATTTTCTTAAACTGAATACACATACTCAAATATTTCTCAAACAGAAATACTAGCAAAGAGTATGACTCGTTGAGTACTTTGTGAGCTCTGGTTGTTTCATGTAAATGGAAAGAAGCAGAGGTAGGGAAGATTTATTTTTTTAAAGCACACATAATCTCCTTAGGTTTGGGAAATACTTTATGACTGTATGGGTGTGTGTGATTTCATTATTTTTGTTAGATAGTTGCTGTAGTAAGTTTGCTTTTTCCAAGGCCACAGCCAATGCAGAGAAACAGCCAAGGATTAAACTTTTGTTACGATTAATTAACACACAGCATTGATTACATTATAAATCAATGAAGTGTGGCTGACAATAATATGCAAGAGGGTACATATTGTAATACATTGACCATTCTATTATATTCTATACACTGATTTTATTAAAACAAGCCAATTTAAAAATTTTTTAAAAAAGAAGCCAGAGGGAGATCAGATTAGCTTTCAGGAATGACAGACAGTTGTTTTCAGCTCTGGCTGTGTATTTTAGAATAACCTCCAGTGGTTTAAAAAAAAAAAATCCACACTGCCCTTACCTGCAGATATTCTTATTCATTGGGTTTTAGGTCGAGTGGCCCAGAAATCTGTATTTCGATAGAGCTGTCCCTGGTAATTTGGTTGCTCACTGCAGGTTGAAAATCCCTCTTTAAAACAGTGGCAAGACATCTGTATTGAGTGGCTTACTCAGACAGTCTGGTGACACTTGCATATGGTAACATTGAAAACAAACCCTAGCAGAGAAAGTCACACAGCAAACTTCTGTGAGGCAAATGTAAACAATTTTATATCCTGTTTATAATATTTTCTGTGCTCGAACAGCATTAAGACTGGCATGAAGTGTATATTTTGATGGAAAATCTGATTCCTCTCCCTCCCTTCTTCCTCCCTCCCTCTCTCCCTTTATTCCTATTTCTCCCTCCCTCCTTCTCCCTCTCCTTCCCTCCCCCAACTCCCAACTCTACCACTTCTCTCAGGATTACAAGGCAGAGGAAGACCCAGCAAAATTTAAATCTATCAAAACAGGCCGAGGGCCCTTGGGCCCCAACTGGAAGGTGCAGTTCACATTCTAACCACCAGGGGGCTGGGCAGTGTGGGTGGGCCTCCGCCCAGGGACAGAGGAAGGGAATGGCTGGGGCTGGGCAAAGGGAGAGCCAGAGGTCTGTCCTGTTAGTTACCTGCCTGCCTGTGGGTCTGTTTCTAATACAGCAAGAACTTGTAAATCAGAAAGACTGCCCATACATGTGTGCATACAAACTGGTTACTGTCAAGTTCAAGTGGTGGGGCCTGCAGAACAAAGTGGAAAACTTTATACATAAGGTAAGTAGCCAGGGTGAGGCCTTCCCAGAGTTTACGGATTGGTGAAGGTGCTTTGCCCAACAAGAGAAGATCATACAACCCATGTGACTTATATTCTAGGGTTGATGACAAATATTTCAGCTTGATTTCACAGATCCCCACTTGTCCTTGTACATAACTGTCTTTTAGTTTAATGTTGTCCATCCAAGGACACCACTGTGACAGGGAAGGGAACTGAGGCAAAAAAAAAAAAAAAAAAAAAGGAAACTGGAAGAGGCTTACTATGATTGAAATAAAAGTAAAACTCAGTCTTTCTCTTTTCCTGAAGCCAAAAGGCAAGAGGCACTGTGAGCCTTTTTCTCCAGTGCCCTGAATTACTGAGCTAGGTAAACATAAAGAGTTTTTACAGCGTTTTTTCTCATGTGTTAGAGCCTCACTCTTGGACTGTATTTCATAGCTCCTGGCCAAGGAGGAAATTTGGCACCGTTGTTCTTGGGCCTTGCCTTAGCTGTGAGCTCATGGGCTGCCTGTCTTGGTAGCATTTCGGGCACAGGGCCTACTTGTGAGGTAGACACCCATTTTCTCCTGGGGGCTCCCTCCTCCTTGAAGCCTGTATCTGTTAGACGTGTGAATGCAAAGGCCACTGACCTATGGGACTGGGAGCCCGATCCACACAAGCCAGCTAGGATTCCTCCCCCCAGCCTCCGCATGGAAGTGTGGGTATTGGCTCAGAGGTCATGGGGGTGGGGGAGCTGCAATGGTGGCCCTCATCTTCTGGGTTCTAACTATGTTCCCTCCTTTTTATAGCAAGAGAAGCGTCTGTTTACAAACTTCCACAGGCAGCTGTTCTGTTGGCTCGATAAGTGGGTTGACCTGACCATGGACGACATTCGAAGGATGGAAGAAGAGACGAAGAGACAGCTGGATGAGGTAAGTGGATGCCCAGAGAAGACTCTGGGGCTCTCATCTAGATAAACATGTGCAGGAGACTGTCATGCTGGCGCAGTTCACTGAGGGCACTGTTCTGTGGTTCTAGGAACATGTCCCTGTCTCCTGTGGGTAAGGTCTAATGCCAGGCAATCTGGGAACTATAAGGAAGAAAGCAGCCTGTGCTCTTGAATTTGCAGTCTAGTTGAGGTCTTGGCATATCTAGAGAGACAAATACGGCAGTGGGTGCTGCATGCCAAGTGAGTAATACAGTCGCTTCAGTGGTTCTTCGGAGCCTGGTGGGGGATCGTGTCGGCTACAGAGGCAGAGGTGCCGCTGGGAGGAGGCAGGCTGGACTGACTGCGAATACCACACACATGACCCACAGAGGACACAACAGCATGCACAGAAGCGACTCCTCTGTAAGGTGGTTTTGAGCTGTTTTTAGAATTTGAAGCCTTTGCTTTGGGGGATGGTTGGCATGACTCCCAGAAGGGCTCTGCTCCGTGGAAGTCTGAAGACCTAACATTCCCCCTACCTCGTCTGGAGATGCTCCCTGCGAGGCTTACTCTCAGGAGATTGTCATAAGTAACACTCACATACTGACTGAGTGTAAGGCACTGTTCGGAGGGCTTTTACGTACATCATCTCCTGTGAGCCTCACCACACGTGTGAGTGGGCACTGTGATCCCCTCTCTCTGATAAGGACGGGGAGGCTCTGAGACCTAACGCCTGCCCAGGGTCACGTAGCCTGCTGGTGATAGGGTCAGAGTAAGAGCCATGGCTCTTAATCACTAGGCCTCTTCTCCTTCTAAATGCCACTTGGGGTCCTCCTGCTTTCTTGGGGCTAAGAGTAAGAGAGGAAGCTCTGTTTCGTAAGACCTGCTATCCATTTCTCCCTTCTTGCCTTGGTGGGGTTGGCATGCAGCCCGGGTGTCTGGGAGACATTGCTTTGCATGGCTTTGCCTGGCTCTCCAGCCGGGCCTCAGGGGAGCCCCTGGCCAGGGTGCTGGGGTGTCCCATCCTGCCCGGTGCAGCAGCTCTACCTTCCTCTGGAACCCCCAGGAGAGTGGTTTTCACCTCCCCGAAGACACTTCGTGGGCTGACCCACTGGTTAAGTGGCATGCTGAGTTAGTTCCTGTTGAAGGCAGATGTTTTGGTTATTAATTCAGCTACATCTGGCAGGGAGTGGCAGGGTTTTGGGCACAATTTCTGATGCTTCTGCTAAGGATCTTCAGGATATGATGGAATTTAACATCCAGGGCTCTGGACATTCTGACTGTGTAAGAGAGACCCAAGTCTTTTGGTCACCATAGTCCTGACAAAAAGAAAGAAGTTACTAAAAACGGAGGATCACAGTGCCTTCGGGGGTTTAGCCTGGAGCTTTCAGCCCCCCACTGTCTAACAAATGTAGCCTAAGGATTCATGGAAGTGTTTGCAGGCAGCCTTTTGCTGTGGGTAGAATTCAAATTCTTGGACCTGGGAGAACTTGTCAGAGGATCTGCTGGCTCTGCCTCCCTCCCATCCAAACTCCGAGAGCCCTCATCATTAGGGAGTTCTTTTTCAATCCGTACTCCTTGTCTTTGCATGTTTCTCCATTCTCTGGAAAATTGTGCCAGAAGCTTAGACGACCACTCCCTTCAGGATGACTGCAAATGCAGGAAACGCTGTTTGGAATTGCAGTTTTAAACATAGTTTGCAGCGAAAGAGAAAGCAACACCAAATCCAAATCCATGTTACTGTGTGACATACTTTGACCCCACTAGCCACTGTATAGTACCTTAGTATGCTGAGTGTTCTTCTGACCTATTTATCATTTTTCTGTTTTTGTTTTTCCTCTTTCTAAAAATACTTTCTTCAAAGTTTTCTTTTTTCTTTTTGAAAGAAATTAAATTTTTTAAATTTAAGATTTTATTTTTTTAGAGAGAGGGGAAGGGAGGGCAAAAGAGAAGGAGAGACAATGATGTGAGAGAGAAACATCGATTGGTTGCCTCTTGTATGAGCCCCATCTGGGGACTGAACCCACAACCCAGGCATGTGCCCTTGACTGGGAATTGAACCAGCGACGTTTTGCTTTGCTGGACGACACCCAACCAACTGAGCCACACCAGTTAGGGTTCAAAGATTTATTTTTATAGTTTTATTTCTTTATTTAAAAAAAAAAAACACTATATAATATACTTACCTGGCAGGGGAGATACCATGAACATGAAGGTGGTTTTCCCAGGGCGAGGCTTACCCATTGCACTCCGGATGTGCTGACCCCTGCGATTTCCCCAAATGTGGGAAACTTGACGGCATAATTTGTGGTAGTGGGAGACTGCGTTCGCGCTCTCCCCTGAAAAAAGAAAAAAAAAACAAAAAACACTATATTGAGGTATGATTGACATACAGAGAGCTGCACATATTTAATATATACATCTTTTCAAAAAAGATTTTAGCCCTGGCTGGCGTGGTTCAGTGGATTGAGTGCTGGCCTACAAACCAAAGGGTCGCTAGTTCTGTTCCCAGTCAGGGCACATGCCTGGGTTGCAGGCAAGGTCCCCCAGTAGGGGGCGCACAAAAGGCCACCACACATTGATATTTCCCACTCTCCCTTCCCCTCTCTAAAAATAAATAAATAAAATCTTCTAAAAAAAATAAAAATAAAAAAGATTTTATATATTTATTTTTAGAGAGAGGGGAAGGGAGGGAGAAGTAGAGGGAGAGAAACATTGATTGGTTACCTCTCATATGCGCCCTGAGCTAGGACTGAACCTGCAACCCAGGCATGTGTCCTGACCAGGAGTTGAACCAGCAATACTTCACTTTGTGGGATGACGCCCATCCAAATGCTATATACATCCTTTTTTTTTTAAAGATTGTATTTATTTTTTTAGAGGGGAAAGGAGGGAGAAAGAGAGGGAGAGAAACATCAATGTGCAAGAGAAACAACAATTGGTTGCTTCTCATACACCCCCAATAGGGGACCTGGCCTATGACCCAGGCATGTACCCTGACCAGGAATGGAACCGATGACCCTTTGGTTTGCAGGCTGGTACGCAACCCACTGAACCATACCAGCCAGGATCTAATGTATACATCTTGATGAATTTGCAAATAAGTATACATTCATTAAACCATCACCAAAATGAGTGCCATAAACACATCTATCAGCTCCAAAAGTATTTTTTATAGCTTTAAAATTCAGTGTCCCAGGCTTGTGAGGAAGAAGCTGTCCTTTGCCTAGTGCCAAAGGCCCCGGCCACCCCTCGCAGAAGAACCCCCTTGCATTCTTGTGGTGGTTTTTTTGGTTAATTATCTCCACATTTCCAAATAATATGCTTGTGCTCTTAATTCTTAATTTCTCAACTTTTGTTATTAACCATCAAATTCTTCCTAGGGAAAATTTAGCTTTTACTCCACTCACCACTTACATTCTTCCTCTCTCCATCCTTCAATATCACGACTTAGGGTTCATTTATTTTACAGCGTTTATGTTACTGCAACTCTGTCATTCTTTTCTTCACTTTAGTCTGCTCTGATTTTTGTTTATTGTGTGTGTGTGTAGTTTGTTTTAAAAAGTTAGTAATTGCCCTGGCCAGATGGCTTCCTTAGTTGGTTAGAGTGTTGTCCTGATACAGCAAGGTTGTGGGTTCAGTCCCCAGTCAGGGCACATTCAAGAATTAACCAATGAATGCATAAATAAGTGGAACAAATTGACATTTCTCTGTTTCTTTCTTTCTCTCTCCCTTCCTCTCTAAAGTCAATGTTTTAAAAAAGTACACATTAAAAGAAGTAGTAATTGCCTCCCTTCTTTGTTAGCTTAGTTTTATGTGTCTGTCTCCTTAAGTTTTGTTTTCCAGTCTCTGCATGAATGGTTTGGTTTCTTCGGTGTGTGATATATATTGTATAGTAATGTAATTGATGTGGCCCATTCTCATTCATTTTGTTCCGATTTGGTAAACACTTTGATCTAAAGATCTCTTCAGTTCTGGAAAATGTTTTTGTGTTATCTATTTCACAACTCTTTCCCCTCTCTTTGTTCTCTTTTTGGAATTTTTTTATTAGAAGCTGGGCCTCAGGAATTATTAACCTTCTAATTTTCTAAAGTACTTTTTCTTTTTTCTACATGCATTATCTTCCTTTTCTGAAGCTATAGTTTTTTATTTCTGTGTTTGGTTTTTAAGGTGTCTCTGCTCCAGTGAATAAGCAGTCTTTCTTTCCTCTGAGCTCCTTTGTCTTGTTGGACTCTGTATTTTGTATTAGGGGCTTTCCTGAAATGACTGGTGGTTCTTGGCCACTTTTAAGAATGAAGCTTTGCAAAGCTGATTGTAAGCTCTTTGAATCAGTGGGTGGGCTTCATTGCAGGGTAGTCAGGTGGTTTCATTGGTGTCCCCTGCTTCAGAATCCTGAGTCTCTTTTGATTGGGCTGGTCATTTTATCTAAAGAGGACTCCCCAGTCTCTGCTTGGGGGATGGACAGACAGCCAGCATTCTGAGAGCTGAGCTGGACAAGAGTCCAGGCAGGCTCACCTATCATGGGCTGGCTTTTACTTAGCCCTCTCCTGTTCTGCATCCTGTTCACTTGGCCCTTAGCTGAGCCTAGGGTCCGAAGTTCAGGCTTCCCTCAGCCTCTTCTGAGAGCAAACTGGCTTTGCGATGGCAGGAAGGAGGGTGGTTGTTTGACTGTGACCTGGGGGAGGGAATGTCAGGGCCGAACTGTTCTTTATCTGGACTTTCAAACAAGTCACCTTTTTCTTTTTCTTTCTTTTAACAAGTCATCTATTTCCAACTCCATCTTTACTCCCACTTTCAGAGGTTCCTGGTGCTTCCAGTTCTCGAGACTTGGGAGAATCTACAGCACACATTGGTTTGCTCCCTCTTGGCTCCCCACTCATAGGCACTTAGGTGTCAGTTCGGCCACTCTGAAAATTAGTCACTATTCATCCACCCTTTTTTTATCTTCCAGCATGTTATCATCATCTCTTAGTTTCTGTTGTCTCCTCTGTTCTTACTGTCTTC